TAAGGTATGCTTTTCTTTCACGAGTGTATCTTCTGAGCTACAGATTGTATCGTGTTCACACAATCTTCTCTATTATGTTGATCGACTTAATTGATTACTCTGTGTTGTCACAAATAACCCAGGTGACGGTAAACTGTTTCACGTCTGACTAATTCAACTGTCTTGTCAGCAGAAAGAAGAACCGAGGCCGTTTTATTATTTTTAACCATATCTAGCCATTTTACGGGTCAGGGAAATGGTATAATTTGTCGTACTAAAAGTTTTCTTCATTTACGGGCTATGCTTATTCGTCAAGGTGTAGGTAAGCGCAAACAGATAACAAGAAGATGAGTTCTTTACGAACTGGTTTTAGTACGTTTCTTCTCACGTCGGATAAATGCAAATGGTCCTTTAAAAACGTTCGGATGAGTTTAAGTCACACTCTTTCTCACTGAAACTCAGCTTTACGTCTTTGTTAGAGAGCTTCTGAGTAACCACATCGATCAAAACTAAAACCGTTAGTCTGGTGAGACAGCCAGAAATAATCACATCTAAGGTTCACGTGATTAGGTAAGGGACTGCTTTTTTTCGAAGAGAAAAGATACAAGCGTCTGATCGGTGTGGTTTCCTGAGGGGTTCAATAATAAACACATACAAACGAAAGTGACGCAAAAGTGTTTTTAACCGGAGAAATCTTTTCTTACTCCTCATATTTTGTTTGAATTATTAGGGGTTGTATATAAAACTATAGTGTAGCAATACCAGTTTACGAACGCAGTGCGAAACTACAAATGCAGTATTATATGTCTATTCACTTTCTAGAATTACTTGCCTCTACAGCGTGTCCTATGACAAGGATTATAAGAGAGCTATTCGTTATATTCGTCATGTTTTAGTCGATTATTGGGAACGAATAAATCAGGTAAAAAATGGAATACGAAACCTCTTGAATATGTTTTATAGTAGTTCAATTCACTAGCATATACAGTAGTAATAAACAAAGCAAGATTGTCCTGGGTGAGCACAACTGAAGTAATGGTTGTATTGGAATAACACCAGATTTAGACCTCTTTATATTTGATTAGGATTAGAATAGAAATAACACTGACAGTAGAATAAACAGCAATTGGATTGTAGTGAAATAAATCCAAGATTACATGAGACTGGTCTAATTTGCATTTCATCGGAATGCTAGAGAGACCCAATTAAGGAATTAAGGTCAAGTACTTGGAACTTCTATGTGTATCATAAAATGCATTATCGTTTATACGAGCGAAAGTCGATACATTACCTTTGAGAAGAAAAGAGAACATGAACAAACTTTCTGCATATCACTTTCTAGAATATAATGTGATATAATCCGGGTAATCCGTGTTATCACTGATGGAATCACTGTTGCTCTATTTTAAAATTCTGGACCCGTAAAACTAATTATCACAAAACGATCTTGAAACCAAGACGACATAGGTACAAAGATGTCACAGATATTCAGGATTTGACAACGCTCTTGTCCGTAACACTTTTATGATCGGAGGATATCAGGCCAGTCGAATAATAAGTCATGAATGAAGGAGTTCAAATTTATATATTAGAAAGTTGCCGATATGTTGTGAAACGTTTGTTCTAAACTGGTTAGCAATTGCAGTGGATGTGTAGCATAGCATATCCAGTTGTGACCTGGTTTATATGTGTGACCAAGTGCCTTCAGCTAAGGAGTGTCCAGTAAAAGCCAGGATCACTGTCTGAGAGCTGGAGATTTATTTCATACGAAAGACACGTTTCAATGCTTTGTGAGCCTTTATTCAAGGAATCCAAAACAAATTGTGCCATGGAACCCATTGAGAAGAGAATGGACTTTCGTGCAAATAGTTAAAGTGGAGATTGGCAAACTTTAAATTATTGTTTAATCTTTACTTTAACTTACACCTAAGAGAATATCCATTTTGGATAAGATAGGAAAGAAACAAGTGGTAACTTTGGTCTCGCTAAACCAAAACAGGAATATACACCTTATCATATCAAGGAAGCTCATTAAAGTGGACTGTATGAACAAATTATATCGTCGAGTCGCTAAAGTCTGTTATGAAGAACGATGTATATTGTACAGCTGTCTTAATTTGTTTTATCCTGTCAACGTTTCGAGTACATGTTGACCGTGCGTATTTCAATAGTAATTTATCCAACAACAATAAGAGATGTCAGAGGTTAGTTGATATTTAGTACTATTACCTTTCAAGCCAATAAGAGTTTTGTTGACAGGTGCAGCTGGGCAAATAGGATATTCACTCGCCGGGATGGTTGCTCGTGGTGATATGTTCGGACCTGATCAAGTTAGAGATGTTCTTTTCTAACAACTGCAGGAAGTTATCTTACATCTGTTCGATCTTGAACAAATGGTAGAGTCTCTTAAAGGACTTGAAATGGAACTTCAGGACTGTGGATTTCGACTTTTAAAGAGTGTGGTTGTGACACATAAACCAGAAGTAGCATTCAATCAAATTGATGCTGCACTTATGGTTGGGGCTATGCCTAGAAGAGAAGGGATGGAGCGTAAAGATTTGCTTAATGCTAATGTGAAAATTTTCAAGGAGCAAGGGCAGGCTCTGGACAAGTATGCCAAAAAGACTGTCAAGGTGGTTGTTGTGGGTAATCCTGCTAACACAAATGCACTCGCACTGATGAAGAACGCTCCTTCCATTCCTAAAGAAAACTTTAGTGCGCTCACAAGACTTGACCACAATCGTGCCCAGTCATTTGTTAGTCTAGGTTCCTCTTAATTTTTTCCATAGATAGCCAAACGTTTGGGAGTTTCGTGCGATTCTGTAAAAAATTGTATTATATGGGGCAACCACAGCAATACGCAGTTTGTCGATGTTAGTCATGCTGTTGTAAAGCAAGATGGGAAGGAGATTCCTGTCGCTACCGCAATTAATGATGATAACTGGATAAAAAACGAGTTCCTAAGCGCTATCCAGAAGCGCGGGGCTGCTGTTATAGCAGCCAGGAAACTAAGTAGTGCACTGTCTGCTGCTAAGTCTGTCTCAGACCATATGCACGACTGGTGGCTTGGAACGAAGGAGGTATGTTTCCAGTTAAACTTATTCTGTTTTAAGGGCGAGTGGGTATCGATGTCTGTAATCAGTGATGGTTCTTATGATGCTCCAAAAGATGTTATATTTAGTTTTCCTGTCCAAATCAAGAATGGCAAATGGACCATCGTCCAGGGTTTAAAACTTGATGAGTGGGCTAAAGGCAAGTTCGCCATAACAGCAGAAGAGCTCAAGGAGGAACGCATCGCGGCAGGGCTTGATTAATGACTTCCTTACTGTTGTTACTGCCAGTATTCTCACCACTGTAGTAGCTACTTTTTGTAGTTCTTGTTATTGATCTTAATTTTGCTAAAATTATGATAATTTTTTGCATTTCGTCGGTCGTTTTTAAAAACAGTTCATAGGTAGATCACTACCAAGCTCTTTGTAGAATCATTGCTTCGACTTACTTAGGTGTACCGTAAACTGAAAATAACTAATCTCAGTATTTATACTCCCAACCATTCCACACACTGTTATATATCTTTAGGATGAAGAATACGGTTTTGTATTCGCTGCTAATGTGACTTATTAGTTCATAAATGATCTAAGTGAATAGGAAAATATGCTATTCCAATTTTTTCCGTTAGTTGAATAGATTAGGCGATTTTGTTCAGGCGAGTTTTAAAGGAGGGTAGTGATTTTCGTACTGTGAACTCTTCTTGCTATGTATTTATTACAGCAAAACTATAGTTGAAAAACTCTAACGGGAATTGTTTTGCACCAAGTTCAGATCTTCATACTTTTAGATGGTTTGGCTATAATTTTTGTTCTTGAAATCTGTTAGGGTTCTAGGTATATTTCTGTCGTTTTTTTCTGACGGTTTGTCAGATTTCAGATTTTGTTTTCAGAATAGTAGACACGTTGAATCCGCTACTTTTTTCTTTCTAAGTTTAATCGACCGTACTCATTGATGCTGTCAATCTATCTGTTTCCCTGTGTAATAGTTGTGATGTGTAAAGACGCAACCGTTCAACGTCTGCTGCGTACAAACGATGCTCAAAGGCAGGTTGTTAGTGGTTACGCATTTTCTGTTGCTAGCATCCGTCAGTATTGTTTGGTGACTAATAACACTACTTCGGTCCTCAAACTGAAACAGATGATACAATGGTTAAATTTTTGGTTGAGTCATTGGGATTTGTCTGACTTCAAACAAAGTACATTTGATTATCCAGTTATTCAATTTAGTAGCCACATCAAAAGACTGAATAATAGAATCCAGTCAGCAATATGAACTAGGCAATACCATAAATTGTACTCTAGTTACCCGTTAGTGTATTACAGTCGGCTGTTTCCAAAAATTATGAACATATGGGTTTTATTGCCGTAGATGATATATCACGTAATTCACCACCCACGTTATACGTAGTACTGTCAACAAATCAGCCCTAGTTAGCATATGCCTGTACAGTTTTTATTTAACCCAGATTGACTAAAGCAGCTGTAAGTTTTAGGAAACACTAGGAAATGTAATCCGATGGTTTAGGTGAAAATGAAACCTAAAATGTCGAGAATTTGATTGAAGTTGATACAGACGTAAAGCGTGGGAGTGTACTTGCCTGCTTGTTTGACAGTTGGTGGTGTTTCGGTATTGTGGTCAATGAATTGCATTCTAGATGTCACCGTCAAACTGTAGAGTTTGCCAGATAGACATACCGTGGGCGTTAAATCCTAGGGGATTTAGTGACTGAGATAAACGTATTAAATAATGCTGTAAGTAATTATGGAAATATTATGTGATCGGACTCAATCAGTTGTGTTTTAGGGTTTACTACTATACTACGAAAATACAAACATAACTCTAACTACCTTATGGTTATGATTTTATTTCTAACTAAATATTTTGCCAAAAAAGAACAAATGGAAAAGGTCTCGTAAACTTCTGAACAAAGAGAGTTGTGTAGTAGGAAAAAAAATTACAATGGTCTTTACTCAAGAGATGAAAGTATTTTGATTAGAACTAAATAATTTCTTTAGAGTTCTTTGAATGTCTTCAACGAATTCATATCTGATTATACGGTAAGAAGAAACAAAAAGAAGTAAATAAATGTAGTACTAAAGGAAGTAATCCGTAAGATTTCGATAATATTAACCAATTAGACAAATCAGAATGCTGAGTAGTCAAATGTACCGTTTTGATATTGTGTAGGCGATACTCAACACTACGCCAACATTAATTCTATTGGTCGCTACACTTGGAAACTCATCTTTTCATGAATAATACAGTTTGTATCGGGCAATGATCAGGGTCAAAATAACTCAACTCAGGAAGGGATATAGTTAGGAAAATTGGGACTTTCTAATACTCTTATATTTTGCAGATATATGGTTGGTGCGTCCATCATTTATAGCGGAAACATATTTTCTGTTATGTATAATTAGTTTAAGATTGCTTACCCAGAAAATGAATTCATTTGTGAAATAAACGAATGAGTACTTTATATTCTTAAGTATTTTGGTATTAAGAAAACTAGATGGTCATAGTCGAGCGTTGTATGCTAAATACGCAGTTATCTTTCGGTTGGCAAAAAAATTTCGAATAATTTTTCTTCAGTCAATACGAAAAAGGTTCGATTTTCTGGGCTAGCAGTAAATACAATGGTGTTATTTCAGACGAATATGAAACCTTATATAGTGGGGGAGTTTGTGGACTTTTCTTCAGCTAAAGTTGTTCCATGGAAAATTACTTACAAGTACTTGTAAGTATATTACCGACCCTAACTCAGTTATTGATACATGTATCACGAACTAGATCTTACAGACATTATTCTATTTATCGGGCATTAAGATATCTCGATGTATATCAAAGATAACTATTGTCCTTGTACTCCTAAAAAAATTAGATAAACAATTGCTGTCTGTTAACAAGATTAACCTTTTGGAAAAAGATAGACTACTAAACATATGACTCATTGCGCTAATGAATAGTCAAGAAAGTTTAGTGTATAGATTTTTGGTATTGAAGTGACGAATTGTGTATGCATTTGAAGGAGAAATATATCTCAGAGACCGTGGTGACAGTCGGTAAGTTCTACTAGTCAACGGTAAGAAGATTCCGTTTGTTCCAGATGAAATAGCGAAATAGTAGACGCTATTGGTGCAGTCGAAGTACTTTGTAATTGGAACCGGGATTATATTAAGGGTGATTTTCTTCAAAAAATCCGAGTATTCTGTCGTTGGAAGCCACTCGTCTAATGTTATTCCATCAATCGAAGGATACCATCAACAGCTCAGCTAACGCATTTACGGATCCCATACGGACATAATATTTATTTGAAATCAGCATTCGCTATTAGTATAGAATTTTTGCCATTTAAGGAACTGAACAGTTTAACGGAAAAATTCAGTGGGTAAATATCAAAGCAGATGTACTTACAGAACTTGCGTCGATGGTGTTTTATCAATCTTCAATAATTTCAACATGTACATATATCTGAGCTGCTTAGTGGTGCCCGAGGATTTGTCCCCATGTTGTGATTGGAGGTACATACAATAAGTATTGTTCGATAAACCGGATATCCTACATATCTTAAAACAGCGATCATCTACTACCAGGATAGTATAGCTGATCAGCTGTTCATCAAGACACTATAAGTAGAGAATTTAGCATTTTGATGATTACTGTCTAGACGAAGGAGTACGTCACTATCCATTCCAAAGAACACAACAACAAAGGCATTGTATAGACATAGCAATATCTGCATCTGGACATGCTTCCCGTTTTAACACGATGTTAATTATCTGATACCCTCAAGTATGCTCTTTTACACATGTCCAACTTCTCAAAGAAATTGCTAACCACTTGTAAGTTTTAGAACATACCAATATTCCGATACAAAATGGTCCACCACTGTCTAATTGCTTCATATAGGTATATCATCTCAAACTTATTCAAACAAGTTATTTGATTTGTCTGTTAACATTTAACATATTCCCAGTGGATTATAAAACATTACTAGCAACCTTCATTATCTGAATAAAAACCTAACTAGGTTTGAAGAAAAACTGTACTGAACCACTCATTAATGATTAGTAAATGTTCAAATGTATTCACAAATACAACTTGAAACTTACTTAATTTTCTTCGTTTCTTAGAGAGCAATAGAATATAAGTTTAAAATTTTAACTAATATAAAATGTGGGAAAGAAAATGCGTATATATTAATCATTTGAAGATGTGATCACGGACTTTGCAATGAATATTCTGAATTCTCACTTTATATATATATATATATATATATATATATATATATATATATATATATATATATATATATAGTTCTCTTGAACTTCTGTCTTTGAACTAAAACTTACATTTGAAAATATCACATAGTTCCTGGAATTTTCAGTATTGACCCTGGACAATAACCTTCTTCATCAAACTTATTCTGAACTTTATACCATTTTCCATTCTTTTCTAAAATTTTTACCCATTCACCATTTTCTACTGTTAATTCTCTTTCAGATCTTGCTTCAAACGACTCAATAACTTGAACAAGTCTATAGAATAAGTATATTGACAATTGAAATACTGATTGGTTAACAAATTAAAGTTCTTGAATGTGGAATTAAATCATTCTTTATCTAAAGTCTAAATTCAACCTAATTTTTTACGTTTAACACGAACAAATTTTACTGACATTTGGAAATGTAGCAAAAATTAAATCCTTCCCTCAAAATGTATCATTTATCTCGGTGTTTCGACCCTTATAGTATCAGATCAGCAAGCGAAATATTTCGACATCTAGTGTTGAAGTCACAGGTTTTCTAGAAGAATTATTATTGATCACCTCGACATGCGATGCTCAATGGTATAGGAGTAGGTTGGAAGAAATCTAGGGGCGGCCAGACCAAAACATGGCACAAGTCCATGAAGTCATTGACAAGTGGACTGAGCCATGTTGGTAGGTGTAGACTACCTGGTTTGGGACCGCCAGATGATAGCAAACAGTGGTTAGAGACCCTGAATGACATGACTCAAAATCGTTTGCAATGGCTCAGGTGCATACACTCTTTGTGTTCTTCCAAATTCTAATCTTCTGAATTCTTCATGTCCTTTTTTTCTCTTTCCGAATTTATTTCATTGGATTGTACTCCTTGAATAACATCTTCAAACCCTAATTTTTCCGATTACTGTTTATACCTTCACTACCTCTTACTACGGGATTTGAATCGACAATTCTATTTGTGTGCTAATGTGGTATGGCAAATCGAACTAATGTACGTACGTACGTACGAAGTTCTACGTTGTTCTGACTGAGTGAATCGCCAATTTCTGTCGTCAGATGCTAAACACTTGTGTTCGTTTTCTTTTCAGAGCTAACTATTTACGAATAAGTTTAATGTATTAATTCTAAGTTGTCACACTGAACAACATATTTTGTCGGCTGATCAAAGATGCATTCTTTTTGTTACACCATATCATGTAACATCACTTTCAAATTCTAGTTAATTAGATCAGAAGATGTACACTGTCTGCATTCACATGCATAGGTACATTTAAATAAGCAATGAGAACTCAAATAAGATAAACAATAAAGATTTGATTAAATAAAGGGTGATGGGAAGGATATAGTATGTTTGTAAAGGTTGCATGTTGAATAATTAAAGTGGAAGTTCGAACATTTTTTTTTGAAATGATAAAAGTGGGGCAAGTATAGCGGCTAATTCGTCGCTGTGGCAGTGGGATGTGAATCGTCACTTCTGTATATGCTTAGATTTTCTGGTTCGCCTAGCATTGGCATGGTATTGGATTCACTGATATGTTTTATTCCATTTTTCCTTTTCTACTTCCAAAAACGTTTTAAAATTTATGTTTCGTCTACTGAACCTGTAACGTTAACACAAACGTTCTTCATCCGTCCTATCATCTTTTATCTAATCAAGATAACGCTTTTTTTTATCAATTTTAGTCAAGTTTCCATTTCTTTTCTTTAATTATTAATATAGATAGGCTGAATATTGTAGGACTTCGAAAAGACTTTAGACATCTAAACGATTTAGTCCTTCGATCAGTTACGTTTTCTCATACCATCATCAAACATCATTGTTCTAAATATAGAATAAGTGGAGTGTGCCTAGCAGTGAAATCGAGGACTCACGCCTCATCTCATCTAGGAGTCGTCAGCTGAATGTACCTGGACTCCAGAGTAGATGATCGCCCCGGGACTCGAACTCAATATCGTCCGCCTCAAGCAGCATCTTATTATTCAATTAAGCATCGAGTTCAGGTAGTTACTCAGTTTTGCAACAGGTATGAATTTTATTTTATTTTAAATGGATTGGATTATCCCGTTGTTAATATTTTTAACTGAAAGTTGATCAGTTTTGGTTGTTATATGGGTATCCTGTGTGGATTGCCTCAATATAAGCCTGACGCAAGTTAGTGTAGAATAGATGGAAAAAGTTATATCGCGGGAATCTCAAGAGGATGCAGATATACCAACCAAGACTGATCAACTTTAATAAAAATAATTATTGTTTAGACTGTCTAACCAATGATCACTACAAATAACGAAGCTATTTATCCATAATAACAACTATGTTCAGTTTCAGATACTAACCCGTTCCTAAGGCCAGGGACTGATAATAAGTACAAAGTTTATTTCCTCCTTATTAAAAGGGAGACAGTGACTGGTACTCTTGGAGTATCAATATTATCTCTCTGTTTTAATTGTATTTATACAAATCTTACCACTCTGTACTGCTTATTACTATCTAACACTTTGAAAAATTAAATCTCTGGCTTTTACAAACTCTTTTCTAGAGTGTTTTGTTTTCATAGCTTTGTACAAGGTTTTGTTATGGAGCAAATCGGACTTAAATTATTCTACTCGCGGCGAGAATGTCCTTAAAGTTCACCCAAACTTATTTTACAGATCCTATAAACTTTGAACCAAGGTCTCTCTATTAGACTAGAAAGCACTTTTGGAGTTTAGCTTTATAATGATTGCTTATGTAGTCAGTTATTTGCTTCCAAAGATATGAGCCAGACAGTCGCAACGTAGAACATGTACGTAGGCACATCGGTTCAAGTTGTCATGCCCCGTTAGCACATAGAGATGAAGTTGTCGGGACAAATTACAGTATAGTACAGGTAGTAACAATATCAGTGGGAATTGGAAAGACTAGACATTGAAGATACTTTTCGAAAAGAAAATATAAACTAGTAAAGTAAAAAACAAAGAGAGGGTATAAGGAATTAGGAACCTCAGAATTTTGGGAGAAGACAAATAATGGATATACCTTCTCCATTGCAAACGATTTTGAGCCATGCCATTCAAAGTCTAACCATTGGTTACGATAATCCTGCGGACCCCAACTGGGTAGTCTATACCTACTAACATGGCTAAGTGCAACTGTTAACGACTTCATTGACTGATGCCATGTTTGGGTTTGGCCTCCCTTAGCTTTCTTCCAACCCGCTCCTGCACCAAAAAACATCGCCCGTCGAGGTAGGCGGTGGTCAGGCATACGTAGCACATGTCCCGATCACCTCAGTTGATGAAGAGTTACTACCTCATCAATCGATTTCCTATCCTTGTACCTAGTACTCTATTCCAAACTTAGACATTGCTTACTCCGTAGTCCCGAAGTACATAAGCAATGCTTCACAGACACATATGATCGGATACCAGTAACCTACAAATATCCTCCATTCTTGATAACCGTATTTCACGCCTCTAAAGTAGAACGGAAAAAACTGCTGCACAGTAAACTCGCTCATTGGTTGAACGACGGATATCTCGAATACGCCACATGTAACTCATGGTGACAAAAGCCAGTCAAGCTTTCTGAATACATACCGAGATTTCGCCAAACACCAGATCATCAGTACTGGTGAAACTCCCAAGGTAAGTGAGGAGATCAATCCGTTCAACTACTTCACTCCCTAACACTAATTCAGGGGATGAAGTAAGCTAATCCTGAGGTAACATTTTACATATGGAGTGAGAGAACCGGATTCCAATCATGCTTGTATTGTTGCTAAATTTGTAGTCTGAAGACTCTGAATATTTTTCGGCGTCTTCACCAAACAGAACTATATCATCTGCGCATTCTGAGTCAACGAGTGAATCTCCTGGTAGGAGATCAAACCCTGAAAATTCAAGCAATGAGTGCTATCTTTAAAAGTATGTTAAGTAAAAATGCAGAAAGCGAATAATCTTGATGAACATCGCTTTAGGTAACAAATTCCATAAAAGGCTAGTCTGTTGACTCTCTTGTCTTCTCAGTATTTTAAACCACTTATAACTATGTTTCTTGTCAATACTAGACACAACTATTATAGCAAAATAAAATTGTACAGGCAACAATGAGTTTTGTGGAGATTATTTCTTTAAACAAGGTGCACAGCATTAATTATCTATATTTGAGACATATAACGTGCATATTTCATGTTCCTCTTGATGGCAAGTACAGGTGTATTTTTACACTACTTTTCTATTGATTGTCTTTTCACCTACACAATTTAAGGATGAACAACTCAAATAAACTTCTAACAGTTATTATCAATTGAAATGAAATGAAGTATCTATGATGGCATTGAGTTTGTAAATGTGTATTTTAACTATTCAGTTGTTTGCGATTGTTTTTTCTATTATTATCCATACCACTGTTTACATGAGTGGTTTATTACTTAGAAATTTTGTCTATATTTTTACTTTTGCTGAAAGAAGCTTAATAGTTTCATCAAGAAAGATTAGTTACTTGTCATTCTTCGAATACATGTAATTTGTCATTTTGCTGAAGTAGATATCAGCTATGATATAACAGTTATGTTTGTACGAGTGGTATACATTTTTTAGTTTCTATTATTTATGGTATGACCTATAAATAGTATTAACGTAAGTATTTATATGTAGTTAGTTAGTCTTGAAGTGGCACTCATTGACACTCATTTTTTTTTGACACTCATTGATGCCAGCCAGTGAAGAACGATTCGCTAGGTTGGATTGGTTCCACAACTGATTTAAATGAATCATGAAAACTGTTGTCCTACTGTTTATATCTGTGCTCTCACTTACTTGGTTTTGTCACGTGGTGTTCTAGAAGATTGATTCACATTAAAATTACTGCCTGGCGGGAGCATATATCTTGTCTGAAACAAAAGAAAGAAATCAAGACTATATAAAAGATACTGGTGAAGACAAAATATTTATCTCCAAGATCTATACTCATGCACATTATGTGTATTTTGGTACGTCTTCGTAAACCAGATTCAACAATAAAATTGTTATTTCATTTGGCTAATATACATTACTGAACATTAAATAGTGCATATGTTAACAATGTTTATTGACCGTTCAGTATTCATATTTGAATTACATATTAGTGAATAAACAAACCGTAGTTCGCCAAATAACTTAGGATTATGAGATTATCATAATGGTTGTTTTTGTAGAGACGGTGTAAATTACCTTATGGAGTTTAGGTCATTTTCTGGCCTTCAATAAATCTGACAAGAGAATCTTATCCGGTCAGTGAATTTGCAAATCGATTAATCTATAATAGTAGTGACTTTTATTGGTCAATTATGTGCCAGTGTTATAGTCGGAATATTTATGTCTATTAAATAAATATTACTTGTTTATATAGTTTATTAAACAATAACCTAAAACATTAATATAATCATACGGTTGTGTTGTGATAATCATTCAAACTAGGTTAACATATAATCTCATATATTTTACTGATGAATTTATTTTTAAATAATAAAAAAACGTCGGAATTAATAGTTGCTAACACTCATTATTACCATCTACATAAAGACAGTCTCTCCAGTAAAATCGAATTGTGGCTAACAGTGAGGTCTAGAACTTATGTTTTGTTTTATATGGGGCTGGTCTACTGAATATCACTGTATCCAAAGTACTGATTTTCACAATGAGATTCAAATCACTACTTTCATCTTCAAACGCTATTTCATTGTCTGCTGAGCTACTAACGTATCGAATTGGTTGAATTCATATGTATTTTCCTCTAGTTGATCTTCAGAATAAATTTTTATAAATACATATATTTGTGAGATGGTAGAGAACATTTGTAGCTCAGGTGGATGATTTGGACTTCTGTCTGAAGTTTGTGCTGATGATGTCGTTCAGAAGAACGATGAAAGCGCCGTGACCAAACCATCCAGCTCAGAGAAAAAACTCCGTCAACAACATATATTTGTTTTTTTGTACATTCTTGGTTTTCACATATTCATACAATAGAATAACGTAACTTTTGTTTTAATCGGTTTTAATTATTCTGTTGGTTTATTAAGTAAATCTTATTTCCTGATACATTTTAATTAATTCCTTATTAGTAAAGAATCGCTTTAGATGGTGGTTGGAAGTAGTCAACAGGAAACCCAGTACTTCCACATAATCATGAATCACATATTTCCTAACAGTTAGTAGTGTACTCAATAGTATATTCTTACAAATTTGGAGATTACTTGTTAGCCATTATCAGTCATACATTATCTACAATTAGTAACACAGAAGCAACTAATATTTGTTCAGTTTACTTTAGACAACAGGAATTTATATGCAAAGAGACCATGTTTAATTATATTGTAAATATCGACAAATAACTCCGCTCGTAGCTGTTCTAGGGTCACTGCCGGTCCCAAGCCTGAGTAAAGGAGAAGGGTTGAGCATGGGACCGGCACCCCCATCCCGTAGAAAACAACCTTGCTAAAAAGCGCTAACCAGAATAAGTATCAATAAAGAAGAAGTAGTATTAATCGAAAGATTTACTGCAAGATAAAATATGAACTGAAACAGAATTGATCCATTCAACGTTTAACAAATGTAAATGTTAGTATGTGTCATTCTATAATTCATAATAATATCCCATGCATTACATAATTCATATCAAATATAATTAACTCTAGAAATTGATTTCAGAAAAAGTCATTTCTATCTTTTGCATTCATTATCAGACATTTTATATGCATGCTTTTGTTAATGTCATATCAGTTGCATTGTATTTACGAAATAAGTTAAATTATCTTCTCAGTTAGACTAAGATTTTAATCTTTAAAAATGTTGTACTTTATTACTATAAACCAGATGATCAACCTTTTATTGATAAGTATCTTGGCTATAAATGGTTTTTTTGCACTCAATTACCCAATGGATACACATTTCATCATCGATAACAGCATGATAATACGATATCGTTTACACATCGATGTATTAACCCTTTTAGATGATAAGTTCTTTTAGACAACTCAATTATATGAAAAAAAGTTAAATTGGCTGACATTACGTGACTTTTATCAGTTTTTACATCTGAATAAAATATCGTTTAAATGATGAGATAATTCTAAGTGATACATTATATTGATAATGTCAGAGTAGATACCGTCCTCAGCATGATGTATTGCAAAGCAAGTAAACTTTCTCTAGAATTTTTATTGATCTTCTATACTTCATGAAAGCATTTTCAGTATGTTTTACTCAATCAGAAATTACGCATTAGGATAGAATACAAAAAAGCTTTTAGGTTAACAAATGTTTCATTCCCAATCTATTTCTAAACACACTCCTTAGGGAAAGCTCATTATTCATAATCACATCTCTACTTATATTGTATTTAATTAATTTGGCTATGATTGACTTGATTTGAGCTAAACAAAGTATATCTTATTGATGCCATTTGGATACCTTAATTCTATCTATTGCAGTCCTGAGCTTTATAAGAATTCGTTTCAAAACACATTTTATATAATCTCATCTTTGTGTTTATTATCCTGAACGTCAAGTCATTTTATTTAACAGTGAAGGACTCACTGAACGTATCAACTACATTTTTTGAATTATTCAAACTCGTTTTTTTTTCGAAACATAACTACCGAATAATGAACTGGAAGATATTAGTTGGTAAAACTAATAAATAAGATAACTACTTATTGAAAATATTAACTTTTAAAGATTGAAAAGTGTTAAATACTATAGTGACGACGTGCAATCAATGCATACAATTAACAGACACTAAAATGAATTTCAGTCAAATTGACCTGCTTAGTGGTCAGTGATTGGATGTAAGAGACTATCTAATATACTTTTATTTCACATAGTTTGTGTTCATAAACTCTTGTTGTAGTCTATATCTGATTCTCAATCAAACAGTATATGTGCATTAGTTTTCGTTATAATAAACTAGTGAGGAAGCTGAGATGTTAACGAATTGAGTATAATTAGGAAAACAAAAACAGATTTCCGTTTTTTTTCAAATGAACCAAAATACTCTCATGTTTCTTTAAATAATGCCCTGGATGCTTGATCTAGTTTTCATTACAGTTTAATCAGAATATATTATTCTTCCTGAAGATTTTACGAATAGATTTTAAGAGTATTAGAAAAAGTTTTGGAAATACATTGGGTTATATTAGGGAGTTATGTAATCAGTTTACATCTCAAGAATGTCATAAGTTTTTAAGTTATGTGTTGAATATTTACAATAGTATGGTGTAAAAAAATCTTCGTGTTTATGATAGGTCAATCAATTTATTATATTTAATTCTGATAACTTATATACACACTGATGGCTATTTATTTTTTAGAATATGAGGAGTGTAAGCCAAATGATAAGGCTAGCATTTCAAAATTTTATACATTCAGTTGACCACTAAGTGTTATCAATAGTTCTATTCTTATCTTCAAAATATACCAGTAAACGGAATAATTAAATAAACAAATGAAAATTCAACCGCCAAGCAAACTCTTACCTCTTGTCTATCAATCACATTTGGAGAGTTGTAGTTAAACAATGATGGTTCGTATTCATGTGGGATTACCGTGAATCTGTTCTCAAAGTTGGGTATATAAACGCGATCTTCGTAAGAAGAATCCTTCCTGGAAAAACGTTATATATATAGTGTTTAGATTAAAGCTTAAATTTGCAGAGGTTAATTTTTTTCTGAACATTGTTAAATATCACCATATATATTAAACAACATCTAAATATTCAAATGTAATCAATGGAAACAGTTTAAAGTGAAAAATGAAACGATTGTTCTTATCTATCTATCATCATCTTATCTAATACTCATATGAAACATAAACGATAAAATCACTGGTTGGATAATTGCATGTAGTTTTAAGAATAATTCTACATGATTCCGATGGTAAACGTTTAGATGTTAATTTGAAAAGTATCCGCTTTTGTTTTCTGTTTACAAATATAGATAGTATAGGAAATGTTTTACAAACAGAACACTTTTAGATTGCACGCCAATTTGCAGAAACAATCATTTTGAGGCGGTGGAAGTAAGATTTTATAAAGGAAGATTCATTATTTGACTACATTTGCTCCATAAATTTTGACTGAACACTCGTAGCAGGAATGGTAATGGTGTAAAGCAAAAAATGCAAAATGTGTGATCAGAGACGATATCATTTTAAATATAACATGAATGATGGAATTCAAAAGAATATAGTGATAATGTGGTGTATGCTATTTATGTTGACAGACGTAAGTAGTATGTAACACTGATTCGAAGTGGAATGCCTAGCAGCAGAAGGTTGAGAAGATAAAATTTCAGCAAACAGAAATATAAGCTGAGAGTAACTATAATAACAACAAGAATAAAGGAATATTAAGTTTTTAAGAGACAACTGATGGGAGATGTGCAAATTACGTGTTTAATGTACCGTTTTCATATTTCATGAAGACACTGTAATTTTGGATTAAATAAATAAATTGGTTTTATCTACCTGTCTTCGTTCACCGAAATATGTCTTGTGAACGTAGAGTAATCATTAAAATGTAATATGCGTTAAACATGGTCAGATAGTACAAGAAAGTGATGTAACTATAATATCATTTGTATTTTAAAAGGGTAGATTTCACACGTTTATCATGAGAACCGACAATGAACGGTTTTAGCACTGGAGGTTATGCTTGGTTTTTTACATAAATTTCGACGGCTGCTTAGGATTTTAATTCCATTATTTTTCATAGTATCTAAGCTTCACTATTAGGATATTATTTCACTGTTGATAACAATGTTTTATATAAACGAGGTTCAAGAATCAGGAATTTACGCCGATTAATGAATGAATGACAACTAACTGTGTACTGCAAAGCTACTATCTTATCAAAAATACTAATCTTAAGGTATCGAGTAAGATCCATTAGTATAAGAGGTATGGCAGCTGTGTCAAAAGAAATGATAAGCGGAAGATTCTTATGTTACACAAAATATAAACAGGTCACGAATATATCTCAAACTACCAAGTAATACACAATCGTTATAGACTCACAAACCACTGTGTGTGAAGATTAAAATAACATATAGTATGTCAAAATACTTCACCTTTCATAAGTAGGGTTAAATAACTATCAAGTAGGTTCACTATTTATTTTATTACTTTTGAGTTTTAAAAAGAATTTGGAACGAATTATGAAAGTATTAACTGGTTGCATTTTATTTTCTTTACACTTATAGAGTTGTATTTTTGTGATCTGTAAACTTAATTACATATTATCTCTTAATTAGTGTTGGATGTTAATCACTGGGATCTATTAAAATTTTTATCTAAAAAAATTAGGTTCTCCTTCAATTAGCTAAAGCAGTACTATCAGAAACTCAGGATTATCAGTAGCTGAGGTTTCGTGTAATTAAAAACAACATATACAATATTTAACAGTAGCCTACTGTGAAAACGTTATCACTTATATGATGAGTAATATCTGACCCTTAAATGTTTTAATTTTATGAGTTAATAAATGACCTAAGAAATTTGAACGTGCCAATTATATATGTCTGGAATAAATGTTATTTTTGTTGGAAATATCACAACTGATTGATCACTGGGTGGTGATCAATGTCATGCTTGTCTGGTCCTTATTAGTGCAGATCGAATGCTATCGATCATGTTGCAATGTGGCCACCAGTCTAGGTGACTCGACACAGCGGGCACTATGTATTGAGATTTAGATGGTGGTTGGAGGTAGTCAACAGGAAACCCTGCACCCGGGTTTCGTTCTACTTGGCACTCGTCAGCAAGGTGTACCTGTAATCTTGAGGGAACTGGTGCTCCTTGGCGGATTCAATCTCTTGTCACCCAGCTTCACAGTTACCACTGAGCTATCCGAGCCGTGACTAACCTCCTGTAGGACTGAGATGTAATCACAACTGATTGATCACTGGGTGGTGATCAATGTCATGCTTGTCTAGTCCTTATTGTTGGAAATTGTTGGAAATATGTTTTATTTAAGTGTTTAATCATGTTATTTGAAACCACTCATTTTTACTAGCTAATAATTCCATCTTCTGATTACCGTTTACTGGGGTTCGGCGTTGATAACTTGGGCTTTATAATCAATCATTATTCATCCATAACAAGTCTAGTTATGTATTACATAATCAACGCAATTCATACAAAATTTCCTTTATTATAATATTCAGCCTTTGCGTATTTACTTTTAACTTATTATTCAATAATATCCAGGGGTATGACAAGTTGAGTATGATTGCTGAATGTATGAGTTTTTAAATAATAGAAACATTATTCTATTGAAAGGTATCTCAATGAAAAACGAAAGAAAATTTTACAGTGCAAATCTGTCTTCACTGTTCAGTTGTTGTGATAGGAGATAACTAATTCATCATACAAATTACTAGATTCAGTATACTTATATTCAATCAAATTTACATTAAATACATTTCTGATTTTAGTCACAGTAAAATTTGTTCAAGTGTAATATACTTTAAAAATAAAATAGAAAAAATAACAATATCCGATTGATAAGTTAAAAAAATGTGAATACTCAGGATCTTTCGTGTGTAACTTACTGGAATAAGAGTAAAACAAAAAAGGTTGCAAAATGATATGGCAAACCAATCAGAAATAGCTTAAGGAAAAGGTCAATCGATAGAAATCACAAGTGACCTGAAAGACAAATACATTTCATTGGCTAAGAAATGGGTCGATTTCCTAGGGATAGAATAGTATATATATATGAATGTGTATTTGTGTATTTTAATCAGTAGTACAATACACTTTCTGATTCACTATTGTGTTCTCGCTCAAGTAAGCAGCTGGGGGGGGGAGGTTGGTTCATAGATCTTAAGTCCGACTCACTCGTCCGCGTCGTGTGTCCTGGATAATGAGACGAATGACTCATGAACTATCGTGAGCGGTGACCCGGGTGGTGGAGATTGGGCCAACCACCCACTCTTACCTATACCCACCAGTCGATTACGAAACCCACAGTGAAACATAGCATGTCGTGTATCAGTATCTGGTTAAAGACACCACCCGTCATAACACAAACTAAACTAATCAAAGTTTAATGAGATTCCCACTTACTACATATTATAATCTCGTAGTTTTTTGAAAAAAAAGACACCCTTATTTAGTGTTAAATACCAAACTGGTCGTCTATATTATCTACAATTATTTTTCTAAATATTTATCAAACGTTTTACAAAATTATTCATTAATTCTGCATTTAATAACTTATTTGTCGTATAATAACATTGATCATTTTTAGCTTAGTTTGACACTTTGGAATTAAAAACTGAACTGTCTGATTACTTTATTACTAATAAGTTGTAAACATTATCTATCGGATATTTGATAAAATTTCAAGTCAAATATTGATATATTCTAAAATGATTTAATAACTGTCCTTTGTCATGTTGTTTACGTATTAAAGTCGAAACTTTTCTGATATCACAATCTATTGTGAATGACCTACGGAATTAGTCAGTACATGACATATGGCTTAAAGTATCTTGTGAATGGGTTTGTTTTATATGAGAGTCACCCACTGATCAACTGATGGAAGCTGATTTTATGAAGATCAACTACCAATACAGTTGTTTTTTTATCTTGTTTTCATTTGCTTTTCAGAACAGATATAACCCACTGATTATATATTTATTTGCTATAATGGATTGATAGTAAAATTGTTAATCTATTTATAATGGGATAACGGACAGAACTTTCAAAACTATTGCTTCATTCTCGGCCAAATATCTCCGCATATATTTTTCATATACCCATAATCCCAGGCGTTACTTGTCATCCCAAGGATCTAATAACAAGTTCTAAAAAAAATCATAAGTTCCTAATTAAGGAAGCCGAGGTCTTAATATCTGGATCACATGCTTAGTTATTCAACTACCTTGGTACATTCCATGCATCTCCGAGATTGCGCCATAGTCTTTCATATTCATTTGTCAAGTTCGATTGAATAAAAAGCACAACATAATCTGGTAATAGTGGATAAATAGTTGATTGAGCAATGCTTGATCTATTTGTTTTAGGGTTTCGTGTAGCATCAACTCCATATCTAGAATAAAAGATGAATAAACAAATACAATGAATACACATCATTACCAATATGCATTTTTCAAACCTTTGAAAAGAACTTCTAAATTGAAATGTGCACGTTTGTTGGTTCACAGCAATTTGGAATGTGTATTAATAAGATTTAATTCAAATTACACGAGGCTGTACCCTACAATTTAATATAAATTTCTGTTGAATGGTGTCTAATTTGAGCTTAAAATAATAAAATAAAAATGTAATTACAGTTAGGTTGATCCCAGTTTGTAAACAATTTCATTTTATTTAGCAGCTAATCAATGAATCTAACAAAAGTGATATCAATTCAGTTTAAACTATAGAAAAGATGATGATTTAATAGTTTTATTGAATTAGCTACATGTTTATTAGTATGCATCGTAGTTATAAGTTTTATAAGTAATAAACATCACCCTAGTAAGACAGTTATGGATAGGTTAAACACTGATACAAATGCGAATTAGCGTAACCAGCCACATAATCATACCCAGGTGATAAAATGGCTCGTTCCAGTCATATTCATTTGACGCTTGATGTGGTTTCTTTCATAGTGTGGTTACTGGCTAGTGGTTCTATAATTTTCGAATGATTATTTTAGACTAAATTATATCGATAAAGTAACATTAAAAACGCTCCTATTCTAGTTATTTTGATTATAAGGTTTATGCTCGCGTCTTTTGAATTTCCATAAATAAAACTATAACATGAGGGCGGGTTTATCAATAATGCAGCATTAGTAACAGGTAGTTGAGCTGTTTCGATTGTTCAAACAATCCTATGTAGATTATCAATAAATTCAGATAAGGTAAATCATATTAGTCGTAATCGATCGTGTTTTTATCCACTTAACTTTCTAAAAAGTAATTATTAATTGCTAATGAATGATGTACTTATTTACTTACTTTAAAAATTCAAATAGTTGTCTGGCCAAGTGAGCAGAATTCGGATCTATAAGATAGTCTTGAAGTCTTGCCAATAGAATGCATGCGAATTTGAGTTTTTCAAAGAAATCAACAGCACATTTTTTCACAGGTTCATCTAACTCACTGACCAAAGCTGAATAATGTACAGAGTAAACAATTTTAATTGTTAGAGAAACTATGATTTATAACAATTGAATAAAGTTTTAGAAATATATTTACTCAAACTTGAAAAATTCCGGACATCGTTCACTATGGCTGAGTGAATATAATAAGGTTGTTCTTTTTTAGTGTATAGGAAGAATATGATTTAGTCACTCAACAACTAGTTTACATAATAGATCTAATCACTTTTAATAAGTTTAGCTGTTATTTCATTGTCACCTACCCTTTTCTATCTGTATTTACACATTTCATCACCGTCATCATCAAGAGTAAATGACAATGAATCTATGTTCCGCATGTCTAATTTTATTTGAGTCTTTCTTTGTCAGCGGTAGTTACAACCACTTTTTGTAGTGGATCTTATTATTTGAATTTAGTCGTCTAATCCTTCGTAAGTTGACTGTGAAGAAATTAAACTGTACATTTACTCTCGTTGTATTTTCTTTGTTTACTTGTCCTGTGAGCAACTCTTATTAACTTTTCTGGACAGTTTGTAGCAAATTTAATAAATCTCTTAGGAAAAAAAATTCATAGTTGAACGACAGAAATCTTATTTGATGTACAATTAAAATGATCATACTTCAAGAAGTGTAATGATTTATTTTATTTACAATGATTAAAATTTTATAGATTGGAGTATGAACTACAAGTAATTATATTAATGTAATAAAGAATCCCGATCTATAATTATTAAAGTAAGGCAGTTGTGAAGATTCTTAAATTCAATAGTTTACATCACAAACACACGTCAGATAGACAACCAGTGAAAACCAGGAAACACCGGACAGCTATTTCAACCCAGTATTATATTCATGAACAACGTGCACCTACAACCCCACTAGGGATCGCTAGCTGTAAAATCTGAAGGTCCTATGTTCAGTCCACGGTAAGGTCTTGGGCATCCCTTACTAAGGAGTTTCATGCTACAATGAAACATATCAACTGACTCTTGGTTATTTTACAAGGGTCTATAATTATGAAACTAACTAGTAAAATACCAAGTCTTATAACAGGCTACCAGTTTCGAAATACATAATTCTACTTCTTTATTGAAAAGACGTATTATAATAATTTAATTACAGTACTATTGCAAAATAGTTCTTTAAGGAAAATAACTTATTGTTCAGATTAAATACATTTTCGGACTCAATAAAAGGAATGAGCTATTCGCTTGAATTAATCGGCTTTGTATTCTAAATACGCAATTTCAAATTCGCCTTATGGAATACATACTTTTCTAAAGGAATAATTAAGAGAATTTGCCAAGGACATATTCGATGTTTAAATATATACTAAATTTTTCAAAGAACTGAAAGAAAAACATTTTCCTTAATAAAAACGTTGATAATTACATTCGATAGTCATTAACGATTTATTAAGAAATACAACCTTTGATGACAGAATACTTTGTCGATGACTTTCAGGGAACCTTAAAATAACTCTGAGAAAGAAAATCGCAGTTTAACTTAATCACAGTACAGTTGATGTAAATGAATAATTTATGAAAAATGCTTTAAAAAAATTAGAATATGTTAATAGGTCTTACAGGATTGATAAATTTATTAAAGTTCTCAGCTGGATGTTCGATTTTAAGATAATAGCGTGTGGTATATAAAAACTCATTTATATGACTCCATATCATTCAAACTTTGGAGCTTTATATATTTTAAGGGTGTTCCTCAAACTGAACCACATAGCTTTAATCTTAATAATGGTATAAACACGTTCTTTTAGGTCCAAAAAACGATGTTTATTTACTACTACCTGATGATTATAATAGAATCTGTGATAATACCTTTGAAATCCCCAATCGTCTACGCATAATGTTGTCTAGAATTGAGAATACCTTGTGATAATGAGTAGTAATGTGGATTCATCCGATTACAAATGTATCGTAAGTGATCTTTTTATAACGTTCTCTGTCATATACCAAAAAACTATTAAGAAGATTGAAAGGCTTCTATTTATTTATATATTCAACTTCAACATTCTAACGTCTACTTTAATTTCTTTTTCTGAAAACTATTTCGTCTATTCTTCAAAAACCTCAAAGGAACAGGGTTGAATTTAATAGCGATAAGAGTGAATGTCCTTACAATAAAGGTACCAGTCAGTTGCTGGAAATTGAGCCTCATCATTCAGAACAGCTCCTAGTGTAACCGATTTTTCAAAATCTGTTGAACAACGAACATTACGATTTACTTATATGGGGGTTTTGAACGCGTGAACAATGCACTAATCCATATAAATTTCTTCTATCCAATGAATATTACTATGCATAACTTTTATCTCTTAGTTCCTTCCATTCTCTGTCAGTTATCTGATGTCTATCACGATATACGAAAGCACTTTTTTAAAGCAATATGACTTCTTTTAAATTGTGTACTATAACATAATTATAAAATACAATCCTACATTAGTATTCTTGTATGAAATATATGCTGTGATCTTGAAATCGCTATCTGCTATCTAAGTAGTTTACCAACAAAGTATACTTTTACCGAATATGATTTTCAAATATTTGATTAAACTAACATTTATAAGCAAAGATGGATGGTGGCTAGCTGTGGAATTCAGGACTCGCGTTTCGTCCTACTTGAGGCTCATCTGGGTTTGAGTCCCAGAGTGAACATCAACTCTGGGATTCAGGTACATCCAGCTGACGCGCGTCCTGGATTTCACTGCCAGCCACTATCTGTCTGTGCCTAGAATCCTTAAGACTTAAGTCAATATCAAGGCAATACGCACAGGATGCACATGTGCCAATAAGAGACTGATCAATTGCAGTCTTCAACCTGAATTAGAAGATTCAAGCAAACAATACCAAGTAAACTAACATTTATTTTGATAGTATTAACGACTTTAATTAAATTAACTTGATCATATACAGTTATAACAGTAAATATTCACAAGAGCAGTAACTCGATTACTTTGTGATAAATATCACTGATTACCAAGTATGTATGTGACTAACTATGAACTGCATACATACTTGGTAATCAGTGATATTTATCACAAAGTAATCGATCTCCTGCTCTTGTGAATATTTACTGTTATAGCTGTATGTGATTAAGTTAATTTAATTAAAATCGTTTTTTACAAAATGTTTATAAACTGAATATACTTACTAGAATTTTGATTTACACTAATACTTGAAACTCGACTTTTTGATTTACTCGATGTAGCAACAGATGGTTCTGATTTAGAGAACTGTCGAGTTGTTCTGCTTTTCAGAATTTTGTAATTTGATTCAATGTCATCAAAACAGTGATTAAGCAGTGCAACCTCTAAGTCAATCCACTCACGATCTGTTTAAGAAAAAGTATAAACCAATAGAAAAATTACATAAGTTTGATTCAGATTACTTTTTTTAACAGTATAAATCTAAGGTGTCAGTCTCAAATGAGACAATAAATGAGTCAAATCTAAACATTTTAACAAACGACATTATCATTATTCTGTTTTGGTCATCTGATAAAAATAGTCTCTTAAAACATTAAATTACTTTTAAAATGAAGCTGTCCTGAACTAGTTCTGAAAAAAAATTGTTCCTCCAAAACTTCACATTGCTTGGTTATACCGCAGATATGTGGTATTCAAACAACAGAACATCAAACTTAACATATATTTTATGTAAATCCAAATAATCTTTCATATGGTAAACTGTCTTTGATTATGAAGTTAGAATAACTAGGGATGTTCGTATCAAAGATGACCTTACATTATTATCAAGGCATACTGGTAAACATTACGAATATTTCATATATGAAATAAAACCTGTATGATGGTTCAAGTTGAGTGATAGAAAAACTTGGATGAATCTTCATCCAGGCTAGTATTTACCATAAAAATGTATCTATGATCTTGAAATACGCAATCTCCTCCATAGAGTGTAAACTCACAAGATGTTTTATCACAATCCAAACCGAGACTAACGTCATATGTATGACTGAATATATTGTGTAGTAACTAGTATCATGCTATCTAATATTTATAACTCATCGAATTCTGGCTATGGAGTTTCAGTCAAACTAATAGTTAGATTAAATTGACTTCATTATGGTCCTAGTTGAATGTTAAGGGATTTGGATTTTGGGAGGATAATTCAAGAATCAACGTTTTTAGCTTTCGTTTTTTAGCTTAAATTTTAATCTTAATAAGCACTCTATCAGTGCTGATTAATCCATTATCAAGGTTCCCAACTTATGAATGTTCATTTGGTAATGAAAACTAATCGAAAATCGGTGGCAGTTAACCTCCTGATAGGAATGAGTTGAAGATGCTATTAAGCACACTTAGATGTTTTACTTACACTAAGTAAGCAACAGAATAACTTAAAATCAGTATATAATAAAGCATTTATTATGTCTTTGTAAATAAAGAATGAACCTATGTGTGTAATGTATAAATGAATTTAGATATAGTCACTATAATTCCACATTGTACAGTTTAATTTGTAATTTGAAACTGTAGACAATCGCATTTGATTCTCCTGTAATATAGTAGTATGATTATTTTCACAGGGCGAGTTCTTTTCTATTTAATATATATTTTTATTAATGTAATAAGATATCCAATTAAATTAATAATGAGTCCATTTCAATCTTCATTTCTTAGATACACATATCACATTATGGGACGATGGAGAAGATTCGCAGTTCAAATAGGTACTTTTAGCGCCGTTGAGTTCTCTGTGCTAGATGGCATAATTACAGAAGTTCCACTGTCGCTATGGAAAATATCACCAGTACTTACTTCTACATTTAGTTCAAAGAACTCAACAATACCAAAAACATTAATTCGTGATAATTTAGTTTTAAAGGTTTTTATTTTATAGTTATTATTATTTTGAACAACATATTATTTTGATATCGTTTTAGTAAATATTTAGATCATTTACTAGTTTTAGTGATTTTTCAGATGTTTCAAAGACATTTGAATCATTATTGTGATTAGTATGATTGTCAATATTATTAGGATTACTACATTGTTATTGTGATAGGTTTTCTCATTTCATCTATTATATTAACAACAAATTATACATGATCTTTTTGAGCGAGTATGTCATTATCATTCTTGACTATTTCATTCCTACATAAATTGAACCTGTATGAATAAGAGACGAATATATCAATGGTTAAGATCATGAGTCAGTTGAAGCTAGACCACCATGGAAAACCTGGAAGTACTGGACGACCGTTTCGTCCTATTGTGGGACGCCTCGGCACTGCGCATTCACGACTTCGCACCCAGCGAGATTCGAACCCAGGACCTACTGGTTTCGCGCGTGAGCACTTAACCATTAGACCACTGAGCTGGCATCCATCGATGTTAATACCTAACTTCAACTAATCCACGAAATTGAGCGACACATCCACCATTGTCTTCAGTGAGTTACTATCTCACAAGAGACCTGGTTGAACTCCACTGGTCACTACTTCTCACTAGAATATTTAATTATCTATAACTAAAAGAGTGATTTACCTTACCTATATTTCTGGCAAAATCGTTTTAGTGAATTATTATATTCACAACTTATCAGTGACCTTCTATATGGTATGAAGTCACTTGTTTAAACATGTATTTTGTTCTTATTTAACAAGATCAAGATTGAAACATTGATATGGATTTAGTGCTTGTGAATAAAATAAATAGAATTAAGAGAATAAGTCTACTATAGAACATTCTTTTGAAATAACCCTATTTATAGTAGAAAATCTAGTTGTTAGAGGACATTAAATTTCCTATTTTCTTTGATATCAAATTCATTTTTCTCTTTGTTTTGATGTCATTGAACAAATAGATATGATTTTTTATAGTTTAAATCACGAACTGATTTCAGCTAGATCACCATTGGGACTAGGAAGCACTGGATGGCTAGTTTGTGATCTAAACTATGATGATTCTACAATCTCAACAAATCCCATTATATATTGAAAATAATTATCCTTGAAAGTTATTTTTAGCTCTTTTATGATGCTAACATATATTTTAAGGTCATAGCAAAATGAATTGTACCAATTAAACAATGTCAAAGGGTCAGTATATAATCGGCTCGACACTTCAGTATTGATGAAAAGTGGATGTGGTTTGTTTCTTTGTCAAGTTAATAAAGATACCAACCAATCCGATAATGAAAAGCACAAAATATTTTGAGGTGATGGAGAATATTTGTAGCTAAAAATTGGTTCTCCAATTTCATACCAAATTATTGCTTAATATATTTCATTAAATTGATGAACTTAGTAAGATATCAGTAAAATATAATTAATAAAATATGGGAATAATTGTTAACTGTAATTTTTTAACTAGTTTCCTTACTGAGTTGTGATTCACTATATACACTATCCTCTTTGGTAATCATTGGTGGAAGCTGAATTCCACTTGAACTTGTTTGTAATGGTATCCTTAGATTTGGTTCAGATGGAGCCCTGGAGATTAGCATGGAGTCATTTATGCTGTTAGAAGAAATAGAAAAGAAAGTATTGAAAAAAAGAAGTTTCATTGACACTTCAAACATATTTATTTTACAGAAGTTATTTTGCATAAAAATGGAGTAATCGAGATGGCATGAAAATATCAAATATATCGAAAGTAAAAAAACGTCTATAAGTTGTAACACGTTTAAGTAATCTGCGTGTTAACATATATAACAACTGATCTGTCTACTTTATCAACCACACATTTATAATTTCATCATCTGAAGTTTTCCACTAGTCTATAACCCGTACCTATTCAGCATGAAAGTCATTATAATATTCACTCTTTGTTTAACTGATTTCAGTGACCTTGTTTTGTGGCACCATTGCTTTTTATTACTTTGTTGCCAAATGGATGCCCTTTCGTCTCTAATTAATTAAGTTTGATTACATAAATACACGCACAAAACCTCACACCTGATAATTTTTGATACATTTTTTTAAAATTATTATGCAAATACTTTCTTCACTTTCTAAGTTATTAAAATAAATTTTTATGATATAAGCATAAATATACTTCACCATCAAAAGGTTTCACTGACAAATAGGTTAAACTTTTCATATAAAGTCATTAATTTATGTGCCATATCGTTTCAAATGCAGTAAATAAGAACCAGGGGATAAAAATGGATTCGTGGAATTTTTGTAAAACTATTTAAACGATTGTGTTCGAATAGCAGTTAACAAACATACTAAATAGTCACTTTGATGGAGTTTTGTTCTCTGAGCTGGATAGTTAGGTCGTAGAGCTTTCATCGTTCTTTTGAACGACATCATCAGCACAAACTTCAGATAGAAGTGAAGTGTTCGAATTTCTCCACATATGGTTCACAGCTTCTCATGTACACCTCGATGTTGATTGGTTCTTGTTGATCTTAAACTTGTCATTGTTTACTTTTTTATTTTGGTTGCATCTCCTATTGGTTTGATTTTTGTTCCCATGTTTATGCATAATTTTCCTGACTGGTTGATACATTAGATCGATTTTAATGTGCTTGTTTATTGCAATAAACAAGCTCCACGACCAAACCATCCAGCTGAGAGAAAAAAACTTCATCAAAAGCATCCATCTGAGCTACAAATCTTCTCCATCATCTCATTGTCTTGATTGTATTGACAACTGAAATCTGATATGATGGTGGACGGTGGCGCAATTTCATTGATTATTTGAAGTTAAACATTAACACCGTTGAATACCGACTCAGTGGTCTAGAGGTTAAGCGTTCGCGCGCGATACTGAGAAGTCCCATGCTAGGATGAAACGGCCATTCAGTGCTTCCAGGTTTTTCATGGTGGTCTAGCTTCAATTGACTCATGAATGCAATTATTAAATTACTACAATCTCCACAAAACCTCTCTCGGATATGATGTATTTATTAAATTACAATAAAATATGAAGATAACATGACTATATTTCATGCCAAAATTCTATTTATCAGTGCATATGAAAGTTGCTTAACTGATTCATAGATTCAAATAATCAGTAAATATATGTGACCTTTTCCATTCCATTTCACTCACTAACTATAATTACCTTGTAATGTTTATTCTGTACACAAAAAAATGTTTATCAATAAAGTCTAAAATATTAAAAAAATGCTCATATTGGAGAATAAATAACATTCACCCTTTTCATTATAGCGCCAGAAAAAGTTTGATTAAAATCTCTCCTTTTTTTAACATTATAATAATCAAACTATAAAAGTACACTTACTCTTGATCATATGAATCATTGTCTAGAGCTCCAGCTCTCAGTAAAACATTGACAATTGTTTGAGCAGGACAAGTTAAAACCTACATGATAATATGCAGAAAGTAGAACTATACAAATGTAGATCTATAATTTGGAAACAATGTAGTAATAAATCTGTTACTATTCATATTTATTTATTTGAAATAATAAAGTTTGATCATTAAGAATGTTAAAAACTGTCATTTCTACTCCCAGTTTGGTAGGACATAGTATGAGATTTATAAAATGTATGAGAACAATATAGTGAGAATGGAAGATACAAATCAACCGACAGCTTTAACAAGCATTTCCGAGCAATGTTCTTTTGTCCTAAAGGAAAATTATTCATTATCTTTCATCGTAAATCACCTTCATGAAAGTAAAACAAAATTCCACTAGGCTAGACAAATTGAGACCTTATCAAATTACAACTAATATAACAAATGGTGAGACATCAATGAGACGACAAAGAACAGTATTTTTAAAAATGTATATAATTCGGTACTGAGAACTTTTTAGTCCCTGTCCAAATTTATAGAGAGGTCAGATTATCTGATAAATTATTTCTTTTTACGGAGCACTGAATTTTCTTTTTATTTAGAAAATCTACCAGTAGCTTAAAGATTACAAACAAGCACAAATAGCACTATGTTAATACAGTACATAACCAACCGGATATACTAGTTTTCTTTTTGTGTTCGAAACCTTAATAATGTCTTTATTGCCGAAATCCACGACTAATGTAACACTAAATAATATGTTTTCAAAGATGTATGTTCGGAGCTTCGCGGTTTTCAGGAGTAGTCTAAGCTCCATCTGTAATGCATACTATAAGGTAAGTTTCAAAAAGAAAATGATAAATTAGAAAACTCTTATTAAAAAGGTAAGTGATAAAATTAGTTGTTAGAAAGAAAAGTGCTTCAGATCAACTTCTCACTAGAATGGAAGATCTCTTAATTAAGCTTAGGCATCATCAGCCTGTCAATTATAATTTTACACTTCTTAGGTTCTTCACTAATGACATATTATTTATGAAGCATCAATCACCTCTGTATCAAGTAACGTAGTTCTGCTGAACTGATGTAAAGAAATTGTACAGATTAAGTATCAAAAATATTTCTCAATGCATCAGATAACAACTCCAAGTATGACTCTACAAACTACAGAATAAAAATTTAAAATCATCTCTTTTATTATTTGTAATTAGTCATAACCAAATAACATCAGACCTATAGTTTAATGTCATTTATAAAATAAGCCTCAATCTACATAAATCTTTATATTTACATCTTGTGAAAGACCTAGTTGAACAAAATCTAAGGTCAAATGTTTATGCTTGTAAACGTCTTTGTGACTGATGTTAGCGCCATGGTTGTAGTTTACTTATAAACTTTTAATATTTTTGTCTCTATTTCTTCTTACTTTTAAGTTATGTGGAATTCCATCTTGTAGAACCAATTTTTTAAATTATTATGATTAGACTATCGTCTTTGATAAAATTCTTCTTTTATTTATCGTGACTTTTGCCAACCTACTCAGTGAAGGAATAACACAATTATTTTTTTAATCAAATTCAGTTGTGTATTTGACCTTTAATTTTCTATAATTCTGATGGTTTCAGGCGGATTTATTGATTTTACTTTCAAACCTTCATGTTAGCAAACATATATGTTACCATACTAACTATTCTATAAAAAATATACAACTGCGTCCTTTTTGGAAATAAAATCGATGAGAGAAAATTCCCTTCTTATAAATCTGTTTTTGTAAATATGTGTTCAACTATTTAGTGAGTCATCCTCGCCTTATATATATATATATATATTGTAAGGGTTCTAGTTTCGTGATCTTATTCGTTGTAAGGTTTTAGGTCGGAGAAACCACCGAAATATTAAGTAATTTAAAAACAGAAACATCTCGTCAATTTAAATTTTCATTCATATTTTTAAACAAGTAAATAAAGATATAATTTGTTAAGTTACTTGAAATAAATGTATTTCATTGCGTCTTGGACGTCCATCATCCATTGAACCAGCTTTGATAGTGAATGTGAGTAGATTGTTTACTGGACACACATCTGGAGGAGTTATTCGATACCGAGGATAGAGTATACGACCAATACGGAAACGTTCAACTTCAGCCTTTGTAAACAAATGAACAAATTGAGTGTTTAAGTTTTTTTAATAAAATAAGGCCACAAGTATATTCTCTTCAATGTAGTCAACATCTGTACGCTTCACCTACAGAAAGTATAATTTCCCTTACAAATTGTCTTTGGTTAGATTTGTTAAACACAGTGTTAGTGATATGTCAAGGAGGAATTATTCATAATAACATATGTCAGTTTATTGAATAAGTGTGAAAAACATTAAAAATTCATCCCCTCTAGTCAAATGGAATTTTTAAAGATTTATGGTCGATTAGCACGAAATGTTTGTAATGCTATTCAGGCACAAAACTTTCAGTTTTTTGTTCATATAGATACATGATCATTATTGAATATCTATTAGTCTTATAATCTAATCTCAACATGTCCCGTTACACTAAAAGTAGATGGCAAATCTTTGAAATTCATCTTTTGACTTCCTAACTTTACTTACGATTGAATAATTGATTCAATAAAAAAGGTAATGTTTATTTATTAAATGTAATATAAATTATCTGATACTTATTTAACTAAAGTGATTTTTGTGTAATTTTTGTAAACAGTAATGTTATCCAATTGACTATTTTCGTATTTTTTAATAAATGAAGAAATTCAATAGGTAAACTGCCTGTTTAGTCAATTGTGGGTGAAACCAATTGATCGATCGACCTTAGTCAATCCATTTTCATCAAACTAATACTGAGATATCATACTCTTGAAGTTATTATAAAAAGTAAAGAATAATATGGATTTCATATTTTCTTTTACAATGCTTCTAGGTTTTCAATGGTGGTCTAGCTTCAACTGACTCATGATTTCAACCTGAGAAAATCAAGTGTTTGTTACATTGTTTTCTTTTCTCTTCAAGTACAAAAGTATCATGTAATATAAATAATTTTATAATGAGATTATAAATAATGCCGTTTTCTTTCTCAATGTTAATTTAGTGTATACCGACAAGATGAATAGGATTCTCTCGATATTAATAAAATATTTCACTTCAAAAAGTTTGTTTGTATTTCTACTCAGCATTTTATTAGAAAAGTACTAGCATAATACCATAAATACGCTAAAATAATAATTTGCTAATTGGAATAGATAAAGTTTTTAAAAGTGTGTACTGATTATCTTTAGTGATTGAACGAGAAGTATTGCACTATATTGTTGATGAATTACAATAGGTAGTATTCGGTTAGAAAAAATGTTTTTATATTCTTGAAAATTATATGAATTATCTAAGAAAATAATAAAATACAAACAATCAGTTTTTGATTGAATTGTATTGGTTGTTTGAATCTTCCACTTGATGTTTAAGACTGCAATTAATCAATCTATTTTCGGCATATGTGTATCATTTGTAGATTGTATCGATATTCTGAATATGTCGTATTGATTATGAGCAGATAAGGGCATCTGAACTCAAGATTGCTTTTGAAGCGGATAACAGTGGGTTCGAGTCCCTCGGTGAACATGAACTCAGGGATGCAATTATATCCAGCTGACGAGTCCAAAACAGGATGAAATGCCCGTCTTAGATTCTAATGCTTGCCGCTCATTCATCTCTGTTTATAATCCGTATCTGATTGCTTATAATCATAGTGTACATGTTGAAAGTGAAGTATAGGTACGAGCCAATCGGAACCACAAAAATGATTTGTGAGATTTTGTTTGAAATTTGAAATTTCATGACATTGATCTTACATAACATAAAGTATGAAACAGAAATACCTTTGTATAAGGCTTGAAACCGTTAAGATTACAATGAAAAAACTTCTTTTTGTCATTAGAGAGTAGAAAATATGGTGATCAAAGATTTCTATGTAGATTGTGTATGACAGGAAATCAGTCTTATCGCTGAACCGAAATCCCTAACTCTTAATTCTAACCCCAACCTTAAACCTTAAAACATTGACTTTTAAATTTATTAACCATAAATCTGACCAGAAACAACTTAAGGGCTCCTAAAAATCTTTCTCAGTCCTTATAATGGTTCGAGAAGACATATGCTCTATATTAATATGGAAGGTTTACGAGTAGAACAACCCATTAAAGACTTGAATAGAACCATTTATTATGTGAAATTTGTGTACCATTTAAATATAATGGTTTTTTTTCAGAAATCATCCATTTACAATCATTATTTTTTGATCAACTGTCCATAGACAAATATTTATCGCTGTCATCTTGAGCTGGTCGATTTACCATACTCTTGGAAAAGGAATATGGGATTGTCAGTAAATATGCAGAAAACAGTACCTTAGTTCATTCAAATAATTTTGGTTTGGTTTTATCTCTAAAATTTATACACTTATGACAGAAGTTTCAGTAATTTATCAAGAATAAATCTGCTTGTAAAGCTAAAAGATATGAGACAAATTTTAGATTAATGGTAAACTGTTCATGTAATTTGCTATGAAAATGTTGAGATTTCAGTTTAGTATCAACACAAAATGTACAAAACGAATTGAATAAAGTATCTTTTAATTGTTAAATTTCTAATAGTGACATTGTAGTTTTCTTTTAAATCCATGAGACTAATGTTGCATAATAATAATGAAGCAGATTTAAGTATCACAGTTATTATATTTTTAGGCAGTATCCTGCAAAGCTATCTTTGTCACTATCGATGTACTTCAATTCAGATAATGAAACTGGAATTCATTGTTAACGCCGCTGATCAAAGTAACAAGATGATTTTTCCAAATATTACTTTGTGTATTTCATAAAGAAACTTACTTATTCCAGCAACTCTTAGAATAAATTAATCGAGCTTATTTACTTCCAATGTCTGTCCTTTATTGATCGTATCATATTCAGGGATAGTAAGAAAACATCACACCTGTATGATTAAATCGTTTGTTTTCGAAATTGAAAGATTAGGTAATCTCTGTGTAAAATGATTATTGCTGTAAAAGAGGAAGCTATTATGACAATACAACCCGCTCTCATTTACATCTCAGTACTTTTCCGTTAAACACTAATAGTAACATAAGTTATGTGGTAACATACGGCAATTTTATAGTTTTAACTTTCTTAATAAATGATGTAAATTGTAAATGTCTACGTAAATCATGAATCATAGACATATGGCAGTTTAAAAATTTCCACGTCTACTTATTTAGATATGATAACGATATTTTAAAATGTTGGTTTCAACTAAATGAGATATATTTACTTCCGAACAAATGTAATTGTACCAGTGTAATTGCATTAGTGGGAAATAAAATGTTTTTTTGCAAAGCTTCTTTGAAAATCCAATAAAATTACAATATATGACTGATTTCAGTAGGTATTTTAATAGTAAAGCATATAATAGTAGACTTACATCTCCATTACGTGGATCACTTAGAATGAGATATGGTTCACCATTATTATCATCGATTGACATATTAAAACTGCGTACATATGTGTAACACCCTTGCATCAGTAGTTCAACAGCAGTTTGTGTATTTGGTAATACATTTTTAGGAGTAACTTCAAATGTTCTCAAATGTTGTACTTTATACGTTTTTAAATGTCTGGAATTGTTTCTATTTCCATTCATGTTGTTATGTATTTCTGGAAAGATATTTGAAAGTTTACTTTTATATATAATTTCAATATTCTTGTGATACATGAAATGATAAAGTGAAAAATTGTAATCAAGGTAAAGCTTCAAGCAAGCTTTTCATATTCTATGGGATGCCACATTTATCACCTCACAATAAAAAGTACATTGAATAGGTGAAGATGTCGTACTATGTACGTATAATAATTAGTTTATTTTATTAAATCTTATTTGTTAACAATATTGCAGTGAATAGAACACGGGTGGGTACAATCGAATAATATTTAGCACAAAATTAGAGTTACTTGGTAAAATAGAAAAACCATACTATAATACTTAATTTGCAAAATGTTCAATAATTGTCTCGAACTTCATAGTTCTTGCATTTCCATACTAATTGCTTTCTGTTCCCGCTCTTCTTTTCTTGTTCTTCCCCATCTTCTGCTGCCACACATTACATTCCTGACTCGCGTCATATACTACTTATATCAATATAAGTAGCACACACCACAATACAACTAATCTCATTCTTGTCAAGAACAATCAGATGATCAATAAAGTACTGGCTTTTATTAAGTTTTCAAGATAAAGTTATGATAATATTATATAATCGAAAGGATTAGTACTTACGTATGAAAGAATCAAAGATCATATTTAATACTAAATAATTATCACTCATGTCTATGTATTTCTGATATTATTTTCAAGATTTAGTGTTATTGTTTAATTGCATTCAATTGAAAAACGTAGCATTTTGTTAAAGAGGAAGAAAGTATTTGTAAAATCTTAGTGAAAGAATTTGAAGTAAATCCAAAGTCGAATAATTTTGATGTTTGATTATATTTCCCTGAAAAAGCTTGGATCAGACTGCCAGGCGAAATGTTAGATTTACTTCAAATTCAAATACTTTCTTCTTCTTTAATGTTTCACATCAACTCGGCGCCCAAATACTATGAAACTTTTCGATCAAATTTAGACGAAAGTTCTTATGTGACATTTTGTTGCTGTAATTGATGAACTAAGAATTTTAGTGTTTATTATTGTCGGTATGAATATGATTACATCTGTTCGTTGTAAACATTTTTAGTAGAACGACAACTCAAAAATGAATCAATGTATCACCAAATACCTATTCTCAATTTAGTATTTTTTTAATTCCTTAAGTTTGCGATTCTAAACAGACATCCTACGATGCTAGCAATGATTTCTATTTCATTCCTGAATTCTTTAAGTCTCACTAGTCCTTTTTTCACGCTTGTGCCAACTGCATAGTCTGAAAATCCTACGTTCAATTTCTGGCTGGAGTTTTAGTGAATACTGCAGAAAGGCTCCAAACTACGATCAAATAACCATCGAACTCTTCTTGATTTTTAACAGCTACTTAACTACAGTCAACCTGTGAAGCAGGTAATCTTCATCTTAAAAAAATCTCGAATTTCTTTTCGAAATTAATTATCAGTAAAATATTTACAAATTGTGGTAGTATTGTTAATTAGTGACACTTGATACTGAGTTGTAAAATTAATCGATGTATTTTTATCCCCTAACTTACACAATGATTATTTAGTTTTTGTAGATACTACTTAAAATGTTGAAGTAGTATACAAAACAAATTTGCACATTAGTTGACATCCATTTTATTGTAAATTAAGTCTCACGTTCAATAAAAAAAGGAACTGTGCATTTAAAAAAATATATTTTCAGTTTTCAGCTATTGATTATATATTTTTAGTGTGAGTAATTTTACTCTAAGTACACTAGACTGAGACACTTCTGAAATAGTTGTTAGATCAATACTTGAAGAATGTGACGTATTGATTACTTGCTTAATGTAACTAAACGTTAACCCTAAAAAAACAACAATCAGATCTTAAAATTTTAATGAAGATCATGCGTTATATAGAATGATGCATATTTTAAAGTTACTACTTATTTGTCATGAAAACAAGTTATCTAAGCAAAGCATAAAAATGATGAGAAAAGCATTTTGGCATAAATCATAAAGCTACTTTAAAGATACCGTTATCACAGACTGCTAACCTAATTCTAATTTTAATGCAGATTAATACTCTAGTATAATTAATGAAATTGCACATAAAACAAACAAAAGTTTTAGTCTATAGAAATATTTCTTTGCCATTGAAATAATCTATTGTTGTGTACACATGTCCTGGGTTCGAGTCCAGAACGCGGGCTCGTGTACCAGCAATGCTAAGGAGTCCCATACTAGGACAAAACGGCCGTTCAGTGCTTCCAGGTTTTCAATGGTAGTCTAACGCTAATCAGTTTATGATACTTGGTATAATAACTATTACAGACTAGTAAAGAAACGTCACTGATGTGATCAAAACAGAAGAAATTAGTATTACACTGTTAAGAGGTCTATAAATTAACATAACTACTCTGAAACATTGGTTTCACACAGCAGCAAAACTCAAGTCACCACTTCTTAATCCATAAGAAAACTTCTAGGCTATATGTATTCTGAACTGAGACAAGCGAACTGTTGTTTACACAATCATTAATAAGGTAGTAAATTTATTTTGCAAAAATTTTTTATTACACTCATAGTATAGCCATTCTCACCACTTTTGAAGGGACTGTATATTAGTTATCACGGATTGTTTGAAAATGATTACCAACATTACGTGTCATTTACCAATGTTTACAGTCCCTTAACATGGTATAAGTTGACTACTTGATTTATAGTAGCATCTCTAATCGTCAGTAAGAAAATTTCAGTAGATTGGTTTACTTGCCTTGTATTTGCATATGGGTTGCAGCCAATGGTAAAGGCTGGACCTATTAAGGTCTGATATTACAGATATCCGATAGACGGTCAAAATGGGTAGACCAAGATTACCCCCTACCTTTGGTAACACAAGCGAGCCTGATACAGAAATCTTTCTCATACGGAAAGTGTCTTTAAATTATAGCTTAAATGATAAATATGTGTCGAGAAAATACTATATATAAAAACTGTCATATCAACCTGCGGGGTATTAAACCTATAGCGAAAGGGACTTGTCTTTTAATATGGTTTATAATATTGTGTATTCGATTGTGTCTCAATCCCTTCCCAGTGTTGTTGAAAATATTAAACCAGAAAAAAACATTCCTGTTGTGTCAACATCACTGAAACAGGAGATTGGAAGAGTATTCCGTAATGAGATTGAAGTTTTCCTTATAAAATTTGCGACGGTAAATGAAGCATCAACCACAGATTTTATCTTAAAAGTAAAAGGAGTGGTTAGCATTAAAATGTTTATAATAGTTTTTATTTCATAAAGAATCCTACATAACCCATAAAGACCAGATCGTAGCTGTAATAATAATTGGCCACCCCACTAGAGGGTTTCTTGGTGTGTCACATTTTGAAGATAAACTAAATGGAACAGTTAAATCTATAGGAAATGGCCGTATAAATTTCCGTGAGTTTATAGTATTCAACTAAGTAATTGGACGTGATTTTTGCCCAGGAAGACCTCAACGAATACATGTATGGGTAAAGATAAACTGGACGAAGTATGGTATTAAGTGATAATAAAAATACGATATTCATAAAACATATAAATCAGCTTCAGAGTAGAAAATATACCGGTCATTAATCACAGGTTAAATCACTAAATGTGGTAGTTAAACAGGAGAATGAACCACAGGTAGATTTCAGAAAAAAGCGATCACACTAAAAAGAGACGACTGTTCTACATGACGGCAAAGACAAAAGCTCATGTTCAGTCTTCGAGAGGAAGATAATGTGACCATCTCAGGTGACTTGTGAGATTATCCAAGGAATGTGAATGGTAAAATACCTCGAATATCATTTCATATTGTAATGTGCATTTTTTTCCCTTTATACCTTCAGATAATAAGATTTTGTTCTGGTCTGTTATCTGGCTCTCTAGTGAAAATTCGGATTACTTAGAGCAAGTATCGCACGTGGTTAAGTCGATACAAGATCATAACACTAATCCTTGTTATAAGTATTTTATTTATTTATTTTCATTTAATTCATCTTAAGATGAACTATTAAGTCAGCTTTTCTGTTTTACAAAACCTTGTGTTTATCTGTTGCTCACGTTGATAACCGAGGATGATTAATATTGGCATATATGCGTCCGGAAAGGTGTAACGCGATATTGCTAACTATTCATAAGGTACTATTAAAGTTAGATGGGTTGTAATGTTGGTTGTGTTCAAAATTTAAATTAAGCTTTCGTACATATAAGTTGTAAGTAATCTAAAGTTCATCCTAAAATGAAATGCAAGTTCAATTCTTTGACCGTCTCCTCGAAAAATGAACTATGAAAAAACTACATGAAAACAACATAATCATTAAAAAATTACACTTTTAGGAACGTATCGATAAATATTTTAAAACAGAAAACGTTCGTGTCAAAGACTATATACTTGGATAAAAGCTTATTTCTCACATTTTGAATTTAAAAGGGATGAGGTTGTTGAACTGATTAGCCATAAGACTATATATTAGTTATCTAGCATTAAGGTTTGTTAACTGCTCCTTTACACAGACGTAAGAATTTTGGTTCTCTTTCCTAAATACCTCCGACTGTACAGACCAATTAACATTCATATACAGAGACAGAACTGAGAAACAGGTACATATTCATATCTCTGACGATATCCCAATGAAATTGAGATTAAAATATATCACTGATCTAAACGGTGTAATACTATAAAGATTTATTTACTATAGAACTTCTGTAAATATAACTAATTTCTATGACTTCAACAATCAATATAGTTGTAGAATAACTGGATATTCGGACCCGACTGATACAACCATCTTTAAAAAAATTTCCTACGAAAACTTAAAATTGATATATATTATTTAAAATTCGACAACAACAAGAAGACAGATAACTAGAAAGTATCATCGCCCTGAAGGTTCCTTCAGTGTTTCATTATATATACAAGTAGCTACTTACTATTCAAAGACAGTAAAGTGAGGATACTAATTTGAAGGCAATTTTCATTATTGGTTACAACTGGGAAGCCATTAAGAACTAAGCAATTCTTGATACTGAATTGGTTGTTACGTAAAGTTCATTGTAAGTATTCTTATTGTATTTTATATGAGGTTAAACATATGAATTTCACACATCACAAAAAAGATCATTATATTATCACGAATTCTGTCGAAACTAACTCTTTCTAACTTAGTGAAAACTTTGCTTGTCTTCCTCTTCTAGTAATAAGCGACTGAATATTGTATACCCAAATATTCCTAATGAAATGTTTGCAGTGTTTAGTGAGGAATCTCACTTACTAAAACCAGTTATATAAGGGAAAAAGTGACTGTTCACCTATGATTTCGAACGAAATTTGAAAAATGACTGAAGTTAGTAAATGTTAAAAATTATTCTGAAATAAATTGTCTTCAGAGTGTAACGTGCATTCCTATATGCGAAAATTATTTCACCATACTTGTACGAACTTGTTGTTTTCTGAGTATACTATGATGAGAACAAATTATTTTTTGATACGTTTTTGGACTTTTTTCATCTAGGTGATATCATTCTGAGGTGATAATTACCTTGAAAAAAAACACGTTTATAATTAAAAGTCGTATGATTAACTAACTGTCATGAATTCATTTAGTGTTGTTTTATTTTTATCGTCACATTGTTATTTAGGGCTGCAATTGATCAGTATCCTATTAGCATGTATGCATCCTGTAGGGATTGTCTCGATATTGCCATAATTCACAAGCATTTTAAACAAAAACGGATAGTGGCAAGCAGTGGAATCCAGGACGCGAGGTTCATCCTGTTCAGAACTTGTCAACTGGATGTACCTGTACCTCAGAGTTGATGTTCACTCCGGGACTCAAATCCAATACCATTCGCTTCAAACGACATCGCGTTATCCACTCGGCTCTGACATGCAGGTACATCCAGTTGACGAGTCACAAATGGGACGAAACGCACGTCCTGGATTTCATTGCTAGCCACTATTCATATTAGCCTAAAATAACTGTCATAAAGTTTTCCTATTCAAACACTGTTTTAAATGTTGATTATCAATATTATTGGGAACTTTCATTGAGTTGATACTCTGATTTTACCAAATAATTTAGTATAGCACTGATTTTATAATCAACTATGTATAGATGAATAAGCTCAGTAATGAATAGAGAAAACATTTATTCATATACTAGAATCAGATTTTCTCTTCTAATTATAGTCCATAACTGAGTCGTTCATTAACATATTTTTAATTATTGGATTTTTTGCTAATAGAAATTGATGAATAAAACTTCATTAAAAACCAGTTAACTTCATTGTTTTGTACAACTAGATATGTTATGATGTAAATGGTGAATTCTTTACTTTTTTACGTTGAATTCATTTAAAATTACAGAAATACATAATTATCATTGAACAGTGAATGAAGTTATTATTTAGGAAAAAGATATATTTACATTTTTAAGTAGTATATTCAGTTTATTCATATTCAGTTATCATAATTACTTTGGAAAGGGTTTTAATGTTTTAGAGTTACATAAATAATTATAGACTACTCACCATTTACTACGAAAATATTGAATTTTTAGTATGATACAAAGAATAAATTATGTCAACAGCAAGTTCAATTAAAAATTTATTAAATTCAGTATTATGAGTATCACGAAGTGAGCTACGTCAGACATTTATTAGAAACAGGGAGATACTGAATAACTGTTTCATTTTAGTATGAAACTTCTCATCTATGACCATAAGAGAGATCTAATCATCAACCTTCGGTTACACTGCAGATACTTAACTTTGAGACCATTGAATTTGGACTCTATGATAAATGGTGGATATACACTGCTAAGGGGTCCTATATTAGGAAGAAACAATTATTCATTGCATCCTGGTTTCCAATAAATATCTAACTGTAGTTGATTCACGATTTCAATAACATTCAACGATCTTCACAAATCTCTTTTACTAGAAATTCAATATTATTTATGGAAATGATAAATAATTCTAGGTAAATTTCATAGATTTTTCTATGGATAACTAAAGGATAACTAAAATGACATGAACTGACAAATTTATAAATTATCTTTGATCTACTCATAATCATTATTAACTTTATACTCTTTTGAAGAGATATGGAAAGAAGCAAAGAAAATCACTTCTATTATTATTATTATTATTATTACAGAATACTCAATACATACTTCTTTAGGTCATTTGAATTCTTAAATAAGTATGTATATTTGACAATTTTATTTAGTTAAAATATAAATGAATCATTAGTTACATTAAATCTTTATAATTTTATGATACATTTAGTATTCAATAGAATACCATAGCAATCAATTATTAAAGAATTGATAAATTAATAAAATACAATCAGAATTGATCTATCCATAACGTCTCATTAATTTATATTGATAAAATGTTAACCATTATATAACAGGGCTGTTTATTGAGTTGAATTTCAAAAATTTCACCATAGTTAACTTGTTTTGTAGTAATGGTAATAATAATAATAATAATGCAATAAAGTATCCTTTCTCTCGGCAACAAAATGATTTGTAATCAATAAATGTAAACTTATTAAAATAAGGTGAATAGTTTGAAATGAATTCATTGTATTATTAGTAACGATAGAATTTGTTAAGACTACAAAACTAACTCAAGTTAATTAGTTATCCTTTTAGATTTATTTGTTCATTGTGATAAATTCTATTTCTATCATTATTTAAGGTGAATATTATTATTCATTTTTACTTAATTTGCTTTATTATACAATACAGTAATAATTGATAGTGTATAGTCAATCATGTTATGGTTCCACGTTACATCAGATATATATATATATATATATATATATATATAATTCACTGTTGTAAATTTTCATCAATTCTCTATGAGATTTGATCTCAGAATTGTGTTATGTTTACGAATTGTATAGTTTAGTCTTGTAATTGTAAATATTGATTAAAAGTAAGCTAAATTCAATGATCTCCAACATATTAACAAGTAATTCATAATTATTAATAATTAATGATTTTGTATATCTTCTAAGAAGATCAAACAAGCTGTTTATTATTATCATTTTACTGTATACAATTCATTAATCATAGTTCTCATACATATCGGTAATTTCAAACCAAGTATTCAACTTGTTTTAATTTAACAGAATTATTTACAGTCGTTGGAAAGAGTAGGATATTTGATGAAGTAAAATAATAATTTTATCTTTTGATAGGATTAGTGGTATTTCCAGGCATGGTAATATTCTTATTAAAAAAATGTCATCTAATCTTCATCATTCGATATTATTAAAAATTATTCAGTAAAGATATAGCATAGTGACAGCCAGGAGTCAATCCATCAGAATTAAGATAACTCATTATGTACTCTGAGCGAAACTTGTTTGTTATTATTAATCAAAGGAATATTGAGAATAATTGATTCTTAAAATGTTCAGAACCAGTAGAAATATCTGTGATGCAGTTGAAATGTGAGTTTAACATGGTGCTTAAGCTAAATGACAAAACATATCTGCTATTAAAGGAAATTGTGTACTAAAGTGCTTAATGTAGTTCATTAGGAAGTCAGAGGTCCTTAATGAAGTCAGATAATATTCTTCCATTTTATTTCTTCCTTGAAATCTCAACCCTAGGTTTCTTAAATTTGTCAACAAAACGGTAGCAAAATCTTGCCTTATCACTGATGTCAGTTAGTGATGAAAATTCCAACCCTTATTTGTGAACCTAACTCAAAAGTCTAGCCTCACTCTAAATGCGTAACCCTAATTTTTCGAAATTATAACCGATGTCATGTAGTGATGATAACTCTATGGAGTAATAACCGTAACTTTGAATACTATCTCAACACTTATTATGTAACCTTGACCTTTTTTCTTTAGTACAAAAAATAATTTGGCATGTGAAATTTCATAATTCACATCAAACCTATTATTCCACCACTATTTAATTACTTTACATTGTCAACTGTTATATAACTATGCAGTATTTTCTGGTTGACTGATAGACTGCTCAATGTGCTCAATATATTATACTTTCACCAATTAATCCTTCAAGAAAACAATGGAGACAGTGATAACGTTTTGTTATAAAGCAAATTAGGAAAACAATCATTTTATTACTACTGTTATTTAGTGTTTACATGCTAAAAGGGACATTTATACAGAATAAGGTTTATATTTTGACTAATTTCATTCTATTTGTTGCGGTCTAATTTTACCCATTACATTTAAAGTTTATGATTGATGTTTATAATACTTAACGACCTAATTTTATTCATAACTTATTCTAAATGAAGACAGAAATACTACAAATCATCACGGTTTTTTTACATTTTCAAACGATGAATAAGAAACTTTCTATGACAGTTCTAAAAAATATTTGTACTCATCATAAATCTTTCATTATAGAATAACAAAATAATAGAGAATTATGTAACTTACCTTAAATCCAATTATGATCAAACTAACTTTCTCTTTATCTTTTGTCTTTTAAGTAAAGAGTTTATATTATAAATACACTGTATGATATAAATACTTAAATTGTATTGGTCAACAACTACATACCCAATTATGTGTTGTTGTTGTTGTTTGTTTCTTTTGAAAAAAAATATGCTGACTTCAAAACACAATTCAATACAGCGATTTTGTTTAAGATTTTTTTAAACTAAATGAGTAGGCGTTAACTACATAGTTTAATTGTTAATTAAATAATATAGTTAAAAGAGTTCTTTCCAATTACATCTTAAATGAATTTACATTTTAAATGATTAACTATGTATTAATTAACTGACTAACATTTTAATAATAATAATAATTTTAATAGTTGAGATCATGAGTCAGTGGAAGCTAGATCACTATGGAAAACCTGGAAGTACTAGACGGGTGTTTTGTCCTGTTGTGGGACTCTTCAACAGTGTGCATCTACGAACCTGTCTCGTGAAATTCGAACCCCTTTTGATATTACTTAACATATGTTCACTAGTGACTGACTTGAAGAGGTATTTCCTGGAGTTCTAGTAAGAAGCAGTGACTAATGGAGTTCAACCGGGTCTCTTGTGAAATAGTAACTCACTGAAGATAATGGTGGATGTGTCCCTCAATTTCGTGTATTGGTTGAAGTTAGACATTAACAACGTTGAATGCCGGCTCATTGGTCTAGTGGTTAAGCGCTCGCGTGCGAGACTGATAGGACCTAGATTCGAATCTCGTTAGGTGGGATCGTGGATGCTATACACTATATATACTATAATATCTACAAAAACCACTTCTGATAATAATAACTTTGTAAATTATTAAATTTCTATGCTAACCAAAAATAGTATTATAGCCATTAACCAATTATTGAGAATAAATTGTAAAATCATCTTATAATTCAATTTTAATTATTATTCTGAAGAAGTCTAGACTAGTTTCCTGGACGAACGTTGGAATTATTTAAAAACTCAACCGCTGAGATTCCTTCAAATATAATATTCATATATAATTTTTTGTCTTTTTATTTATCGGTTATATGATAAAACTTTGAGCGATAATTTTATCATAACTTTTATATGACTAGAAGTGAAGTTCAGGTTGCAAATTTCGTCTTGTTTCGAGACTTATCATTTCGATTTACCTAGATTCTAATGCTAATGTTCATGGCGAGGCTCGAAATCAATACCTTTCATTTTACTGTATTTGAAGAGATTACGAGTTCACCTAATCGGAGAACGGAAACGAAAAATCTGTGACACAATGACAGATAAGCTAGCTATTCCAACGCGTCCCAAGCTCAGCTAACTAGATAGATAAGTCTAAGTTCGGAAGAGAGAAATATATTCTACAATCAGCCAGAAGCACAAACAACAACAAGAAGCATAAAAATGTATTTGGGAAACGGTACAAAATAACATACTAAAAGAGATAAAGAACCAATGGCATTTAAATTCCTGCCAAGTGAGAAATGCGGCATGAAAGTAAAAATAAGTGATTTGGAGCGAAAACAAGAAATTCAATTTTCTAAAATAGAATTGCAGATTTGAGATATTTACCGAGTGGGTCCTGGGGATCTAACATCGTTAACACATTTTAGACATCGAGTGATTATTCACTGATCTATTGAGTTTAGATAGCTATTAGCTTCTTTTATAGGTATAAAAGTATTCGAAAAAGATTAAAAGTTCCCTTCTTTAAAAGAATATCAAACACGCTAAAACTTTTGACTAAAGGCTATATTGAATCAGTCAGCTGATCAATTGATCAATTTTAGGCGACAGTATTGCTAACAAAACTTTATGGTACATTAAATAAAAGGGTTTTTGTTTTAAGAATTATAAAATTTGTCATTTCTTAATCAATCTAAAATCACAATGTTCTGAACTGAAACTCAATATATTGTTTAGCCATATTATTTGTATCGTTTATAATGTTAGATATAGTGACAGTTTATTCCTAGGAGATCAGTCTCATTTGTCCTGCATTCAGTTACTACTTACTAATTCGGTTTTCACTCGCACTCTACCTAAGATATATTATTTAGCAATTGTTTTACCCTTATAATTGACTTCTTATAATTTATTAGATGTTCTGATTATTTGGACTTATTCCCTTTATTTTAGTTGGACACTAATATGGTTTTCTTTTATAAGTTGATATAAATTAACGATTTGAAAGTGATTCTTCTCGCTATAAAAAGCGATATACAAATGTAGAAAACTTGCTGTTTATCGTATGAATTGCCGGTTATTACGGTCCATTTTTAATCTCATATTATGCTTTACCGATTGTCTCATATTCTATGTGAGAAATCCCTAGCGGAAAATTATTAAAACAATATTATTCATTTTAATGTACGAGAACTCTTCTATTTACTTACAAACATTGCATACAATAATCTGTCTACAGCTTATCAGTTTTCTCTGTCAAATGCTTTAAAGACAACTTTATTCGAACGTTAAATAGTCTCATTAATTTATTTAATCCAAGTAATCTGGAAGAACTATGGTTGTTTATTGGTAGTTTCTTAATTAAATATTCTTTGGCAAAGTTCAAATAAACTTTTCAAACCCTGGATAATCCGAACTCATTTAGTGAATATAACTTTACCAGAAGTGTTGTATTGTCAATACAACGATTACTTACGATATCTAAGAATTGAACTTTACAGAATCAGGAGTCGATTTGTAAAGATTCTTAATTCAGTTCATAAGAGACTTACAGGTCAAGAAGAAATTAATCAAGTAGGTGATTCCAATTTGAATTCGGATAATTTTCCTAATTCAGAATTGGATATAAATAATGTGAATTAAAATGTGAACACCAAACGATTAAGAAGGTCAGATAGAATTATTAATTAGCCGATAGTTCATGATATTTATGTAAAGAGATATCCAAACTTATGATGGGCACAATGAATGACTATTTAAATTGTTGTACATCTTGTATGTTCAATAGCTAATTATTTCTATTTGTAATATATTTTAAAAATATACAATTCTCCTGATTTTAATATTAAACTTCACAATTGATTGATCACTGGGTGGTGATCAGTGTCATGTGTGTCGAGTCCTTCTTAGTACAGATCGAATGCTATCGACCAAGTTGCAATGTGGCCACTAGTCTAGGTGACTCGACATTGCGTGCACTACGTCGAGATAAGATGGTGGTTAGAGGTAGTCAACAGAAAACCCTGGACCCGGGTTTCGTGCTACTTGGCACTCTGTCCTACAGGAGGTCCGTCGCGGCCCGGATAGCCCAGTGGTTACGTCTTTGACTGTGAAGCTGAGTGACACGGAATCTAATCCGTCAATGAGCACCAATTCCCTCAAGATTACAGGTACACCTTGCCGACTCGAGTTCAGGGTTTTCTGTTGACTACCTCCAACTACCATCTTATCTCAATATTAAACTTCTTCAGTACTCGTGATTGTGTATTATTTAAGTGAGCTTACTTTATAACTAATTCTCTTTACAATTCAGTTACCACAAATGAAGATAACCATTAAAACAGGAGAAACTTTCTCAGTTATGTATTAGGCTCTAAGTAATCTACTAAAAAGTGGAGAATTACACTTATATGTATCAGAAGAAATTGTTGTTAACTCTAGGAAACGAAAATTATATACATACATGAGATACGTTCAACCGAGTTATTTACTCTAGGCTACAAAAAGGTCATTATTAATCAATTTGATCTTGCTAATACATATTATGAGCATTACCCTATCCCTTTCATTTATATCTTTATTAAGCGTCAACTGTAACATTGGAGAGACTATAATTTGTGGACGAACCAATCTGATCTAAGATAAGTTTTGGATTTTGATGAGAAATTCATTCATCCATATGACTAGATAGCATTTTGTAATTATAGCTGATGTCGATTTGAAATGAAAACCCCAATTCTAATTCTGAACCCTAACATCCAAATGTAAATTCAAATCTTAATTCTTCACACTAATTTTCAATGTTTATTTATTCTTAGTAAGTAGTTGACAAGTTTCAAAGTCACTAATCCTCCATTTAAGGGTTATCGATAAATTACACTCTTACCAATATTGTAATCATTATAATTAGTATTACAGAATATTTCTTTTAATTTGTATACAAATTTACATACAATTACAAGTTATTAATTAAAACGCATCACCTTGACATACATAGAAAAATATCATTTCTTCTAGCTCTACTAATAATGTATTTGTTGGTACTGAAGACTATGTAGACGTGAAATTCATTGTTTTCAGTTTCTAACATACTAATTAAACTGGAACTTGTATAAGCATACTATAAGATTTCATCGAATTTAATATAAGATTTATACATAGATACTACAGAATATAAAGTTATCTAAAACATCCATTCATTCAAATATTCTTTGTTTTGTTTTGTATATTAACACTATATTAAGTTTAGTTAAATATGAATGACATTGATTTAACCTTATTCTTTCGTCAGATATTCTTCAATAAACTGATAAATATTACTGTTGGCAATTTTATAAGTACTAAATTGTATTAAACTGATTTGATTATTCATAATTCCATTAAGATAGTTAATGTTTAGATACTAGTTACTTTATAACATCATCATTGCTGTAATTCTTAATAAATACTGGTGATGTCTATTTAGATTTAATTGTCTTGGATAGTTAACTGATTGAAATAGGCTAAGATAAGATTCTAAATCATTAGAGACACTTACAAATTCACATTTTTTCCCAAAATCCATTCAAAGTTACATTCGTTAGTAAGTAAATAACAATAATATTCTCGTTCTAAGAACAATCTTTTATTATTTTAACAAACTGTTTGAACAGTCAATTCATTCAAACAGGGTAGTGACAAAGAGTTCTAGCATTGATGTAATTTTGTTACGAGAATTTAGACAGGTAATTTTTGTTTCATTTAATCTTATGCTAGTGGAACAGGTAATTTGGAAGCTCAGTATGATGTACTTTATGCTGTTTGAACTATTAAATGAATTCATAAACACTCGGCTCGAATGCAATTCACCATAATTATAGGTGATAAGGCTCTAAAGTTTATTTGTAACCCTGAAAATTTTTAAGTACGTTCATCAATTGTTATGGTTCAACAACGGAGTACTGTCCTCAGTACTCATGAAATTCGATACAGAAGTGATAAGAAATTTTAGCATAAGGGTTATATATCTCAATGTGCGTTAAAAGATAAACTTGTATATATTCCAAATTATTTGTTAGTGAACTCATTACCGTTAACTATTCAAAGCCGATTGGAGGAACTCATAGATACCTTGAGTGTATTTTGTCTACTAAGCAAAGCTTAGAACATTCATCTAAAACTCAACTTCTATGTGTATTTTGCTAAATATGACGAATTATCCATCCATTCTGATAGTAATGTGTTCAAGCGACAGTGTCATTATCATGCCCTCATTATGTAATTTAAGAATCGACAATCTTCATTGTGGACATCTCAGTGGTGATAAATAATCTTCAGTAGGGTTTACATGTTGGCACCCAAACGTTGATGCAAATATGAATCGTACATCAAATAACTGTGAGACATCATAAGTAGAAACATTATCCACTTAGGCTGAATTTTTAGCCATTTCAATCCATGGTTTTATAAGGAATTTATACAGTTGACTGCGGTCCCTTTCTTTCAGTTTGACAGGCTAACAACATGAAACAGGGGGAAATTTAATTACGTAATGATCTACAAAGGACAAACAATCATATTTTGAAGAATAATGTAAAATATTCAAATGTAGATAAAACGAGATGTTTACGTACTAATAGTACACGTAATACGTTTCGATCAATGTATATAGAAAAAACGTTGTTTTACAAAGATCATAATCAGACGTTCATTAACAATACCAATGACGGTACTTTGTGTATATGACTAAATAATTATAAAATATGGTTTAATTATTTGCTCATTCGGTTACATTCAGAAGTATTGTTAAATATTTTTATAATTCTGTTTAAACTTTGTATCGTCAAAAATTGAAAAGGATAAAAGGATAATCAAGCCTCTACAAGGTATTCACATACATAGTTATTTACATTGACCTCTTCACACCACCTCGATTTGTGTTTTTATACTGCTTATTGATCGGATTAACTGAATTTAAAATAATTTCACGCGCTTGTTCGTTTACTATAGTCTTCAGTTGCTGCGTCACAAATAATGGCCATACATCAGTCTAAGGATATAAGAAATCAAAAAAATATTCAGTATATATGACTACCAGTTTTTCTTCCTACTGAAACTCAATAAGAATAACTTTAGATTATTATAAGAGATCAAATTTAGTCAATAAATACATTTCGTCCATGAGACTTTGAACTAATTTTGTATTAGGTTGATTGGTTAGCTAAGCGAGTACAAGCAGATCAAGTGTTGATACGACTTCAAAGAGATCACATACTGTTTTATGGATGCACGATACGTAAAAGCTCCAAGTGCAAGTAGGCTTTGTTAGTGAGCGCAAGTTATTCACCTAGCCAAGATCACGAGGCATAAGTCCCAGTTTGGATCAGTCCAGTATCCATCAATTGCAAACACTGTGATTTAGTCTTTCGTTTAGAGTTGCGTGACCATTTTTACTCTGAATATCTGTTAGGCCAAGCTTTAGGAAGTATATACTGTGATTGAATAGGACTGAAGATTAAAATAGACATACTATTACTTTTTTCAAAATAAGTTTCGTCTATGGAGAAGTTCTAAATGCGTCACTCAGTAGTAATGTAGTTTGTTTATTTATCTTCTATGTGTCTGGTTAGTCATAACTTGGCTTTCCCTAATATACTTTTAAGTATAGTGACTTAGATCCAAATTAATAAAAACCATGACTTCCTCATCAGAATTCTTAGTTTCTTGATTTCTAAGCTGACTCGCATCTAACAATCATAACTTTACACCATAAAGATTTTTCTGTTAACTCTAATCTAGTTACTCATATGTTTGAATCATAAGTAATGAGAAAAGTTGAGGTTAATTTAATTAAACACTGATTGCCCAACTTTTTAGTTGAAAGAAATACATTACTTTAATTAGGATAGTTGTCAAAAGCGAATATGTACATCTAATTTATTACGCTTGCTGGTAGTCTGTAAATGATTATCACTCTTAAGAATTTTCTTACTCCGGATATGTATAGATTTTCGTTTAAATAATATTTTCACGATCCAGTGGAATATATTTTAGAGACGCTTTCATATTATGAATTAAACGTTCTGAACAATAGCTTACACTTTCAAACCATCTGTTATAGTTTATGTCGATAGGTGATGAAATTTGATAGATACGAAGTTCAATATGAACTTCCTGTCTTGCTTTGGCCGAACTCAAAGCATTTAAATGCATTTATCCCAATGAATAGCAAGGAGGAGCATAATATTCTTTAATTATGTGTCTGATAAAGATGTTTACATCTGAGTTTTGAAGGGGCTTTAATTACTGATAATACTATGTGTTTATCTCGCAACACTACTTACTGAATGTATTCAAGAAATAAAGACCTGTGGGTTTCGACTCAGTGACTAAGTGACATTATATTTGACATGTAGAATAACTACATTGATTTCATCTCCGCACCCAGCTACGGGATAAATGTTTGTAGTTTTAAGTCAAACTGTCAATGGTGAAACGATCATTGAAAATCAGAAGGCTCTGTACAACATCTTCGTTCTTGTGTGAGACTGCTAACCAGTGTTTAGTTTCGACTACACCAGCAAACAAATCCAGGAACTTCAGACGATGCAATGAGCCTTTGACCTCTATATATATTGACATTTCTATAAGGAAAAAATGAATTATCTTTTTTTCCACAGATATAATATGATTTTTAGCCGCTCTTTTTTATCAGTGTCATATATTATATGTCACTTCTTAATATTGACTCAATTTAGCTTCCTGAGAAACAAGACTGTCAACTAGGTTACTAGAACTCTCCTTGGTATAAATCTTCTATACAACTTTGTCACATTTTATGAATTATTTACCTGAAGATTCGATCTTCTCAAGTTCCGAACTAAACTATTCATATAAATATCAATATAGTTGTAGTTCTGTATATTCTTTTTTTAAAATAGTCAATTTTTTTATCAGATCACGTTGAAAGTTAAAGTAAAAGTACTTACTGTGTTTTGATATAAACTGCATTTATTAGTTGATTTATTCTTCGACTTTAGTGATCGCTTTATCGGTTTGAATTCACAATCTGTAGGAAGCTTCGGACTAGCGATAATTATTAATAGTTGTTCATTCACTCTAATATTTTCACGATCCAGTGGAATATATTTTAGAGACGCTTTCATATTATGAATTAAACGTTCTGAACAATAGCTTACACTTTCAAACCATCTGTTATAGTTTATGTCGATAGGTAAATCGATTACCTGAGAAAAATAGAAGCAGTAATATTTATTTATGTTGATAGAGAATGTTGTAGATATGACATTGACTAGATTAGTTTCATTTTTATATGCAAATAAACTTATTACTGGCTTTAAATAAGTAGTCTAATTTCAGTGTAAGCGTATACTAGAATGATAACAATATTTTAGGAAAAACTATATTAACGAAGGGAAAGTAACCGCTAATAATCTCACAATGAATAAATTATTTTCTAATAAGAATTTCTAGTAAACACCTTGAAGACTTCTTCGTTTTTGGCATATTTTTTTATTACTACTTCAATAGAACTATTTATTGTGAATCAAGCTCCGTTGTTTTTTTCCCTAATTCATCAACTTAATGTATAAAAAAACGTGAAATTTTATGATATTTAAAAGTGATTAGACTGGAATTATTTTAAAAGTTGATTAAAAAACATAACTGGATAACGGAAAGCTTAAAACCACTTGATTATTGGCGTAAAAATTTGCTAACTTGATCTAAGTCCTAAGGTATATTTAAAGGATTTTGTTTAGATTATTTCAAACAAAATTAAATCTGCTTACGTCCCACTGAATATTGAAACCAGTATCTAATAAATCTTTAAACAAAGAATTCATTTCGATAGCAGATTGTTCACATTGTTCGTCATTAAATTTACCAATCCAATTTTGAAGTTTCTTGATTATCAATAATTTCCCTTCTGCTTTTTCAAGATGCTTTAAAGCGTGTTCGAAGAATTCTTTCTTCAGACCAACACATTCATATATAATGATCTTATCATATACATTTAACTTCAATATTTTCAGATCATTTGAATGATGACTTTGATATTTATTGTTTGCTAAATACTTTGATATATTCTGTTTACTAGGATCTAATGAAATTCTTTCAATGAAACATACAGAATCCGTTTCATTTAACTCGCCATAAAAGTGAATAATCTCAACAATTTCCCTAGCGTATACTTGCCAAGATCCCATTATTAATATTCCTCATAAGTAAAGTGAATTCCTTTTTAATCCAAAGTAAAAAAAAGAATTCAGTTAGAGAATATTGGTTATCATCAGCTTTTTAAATGTATCTTTATTGATTGATTAATAGTTTATCTTAGTAAAGCCAATGATAATCAATTCATATGATAAATTTGATCACGTTATTTTAGTACACCTATTGTAATGGGATCTGTTTGTTTTCTTGAAAAAAACATCTAATCAACCGAAAAGTTTAATTTTATAATATGAATATCTAATATTACGAAATGTTAGTATAAGAAAGTCAGGAAACTATTCTTTACGGATTCCCAACGTTTAGAGACGAGAGACAAAGTACGGGGGAGACTGTAATTTATGGAAGAACCAATCAGGTATGAGATAATGAGTCACAAATTTTGGTGCGAAATTCATCCATACATTTGGTTAAATAGAGTTTTGGCATTATAGCTGATGTCAGTTCGTGATAGAAACCTTAAATCTAATTTTCAACCCTAACTATCAACTGTAAATGAAAATTCTAACTGCTTTATTACCCTCATTTAGTCCTAATCAGTAGGAGTCCACTCTTAAGGTCACTTCAGCGTCGCTCAAAGGTCATCCGTAAATTAGAGCCTCACCAAGTAGGAATGAGCTTAGAGTCAGGAAAGAATTGGGATCAGTCGTTCGCAATAAACCACTGTATTTTAACTATGATCATCATCAATCAACAGGAGAACCAGTCTACAAATCAAGACTGTCTCAAATGATTTAATCATTAGTTTGAGGTGTGACAATCAATCTAGTGATAGTGTTAAACGTCATTTAAAAATAAAGCAAATCAATTGAGAGTATATTGAAACCAATGGAGTAGTGATTAGATCATTTAAATATAATGCTTTCGTGAACACTATATTTACATTACATTTGCTACTTTCATACTCCATGATCAAAGATAAACAAATGAAATAAGAACTAGAACATAAATGTTCCTGAATATGAATTTTGTAGCTGTTTCCGTGTAGACAGACGTTACTCTGTGTACTAGAGAAGCATGAAGAGTACAGAGAATGAAAAGAGTAGGAAAACAGAACAGTAGAAATAGTGGGTTGATTATCCAGCTGCAGGGGTAATTAAAATAGGCTTACTTCGTAAATGATTTTCACTACTATTAACATTTGTTACAATAATCCTCATAATCTGTGTAATTACCATCATTGACTTTAAAATTGTTGTTTAAAAAAACATAACCTTTGATCTTCCGTTTTTATTCTTTTCAAATCTCCCATATCATGCCACATTTATTATCGCTTACAAATACACTACTGCACATATGAGCTTCTTGTTTTTATTTATTCACTGTTACGACAACAGAATTCTAATATATTAGCTGTCTACGTTTACAGATCACAGTAATATCATAATTGCACACTTTGTTTGGATATACATCCTGGATTATGTTAATTATAGTTGAAATTACTAACTATTTATAATTGTGGACCACAAGATCATAAAGAACTCGGATACGGATATTTCAGACAATTTAAGTATGTTCAGTAACTTATGGTGTCCTAAAATGAGTATAAAATTATTCGCATTTGACACATCTTTGCTAAATACCATAATAATTCCGTGTTTCCTCAGAATAATTAGTTCATTTGTGATAAAATTCCTCAGGAAATGTGTTATCTGCTTTTAAAGTGTGGCTAGCTCATGTAATTCTATACAAACTGTTGAAACAATATTACCTTCACCAACCATATATGATGTTCACTTGGCTTACAAGAAATTACAATACTTTACTTGGTACCATAATTTAACTCTGCTTTAGCTCGTGCTTATGATCAAAAAAGTGTCATCTGATTTTGAGAAAAAGACAGCAATTGTGTACAACGTGCAAACGAATAATTGATATCCCTAACTAATGTCAAGTGAACACATTTAGCTCTTCAAAAGTTATTCCAGGCCCCAAGTCCGCGTATGGAGTCAGAAACACCATTCCACAGAAAACGACCTTGGTGAAACACTTTTGCAGTATATTTCTAACACCAAATAATGCGTACATTTAAAATACGAATCTGGGTCGACTTCATGTTTCACTGGAGTCTATTAATGAGGTGTTCACAGTTTTAAATGACTTAATTTCTGTCTTATTCATCTTGACTCTGTTCATATGCAGTTAATATATTTAGATTTGACGGAACTAAATAGTTTAAAGTAATTTCCCATTTATAGATTAGTAATAATTCACCAATGTGAACATTTTTGTGCACAAGATGGAGTCAACTAAAACACTAATAATAATATCTGTCTTCTTCAAATAACTTGACCTGTAGCTCTTCTACGGCTACTGCCGGTCCCAAGACCCGGTAAAGGAGGAGGTTTGAGTATGGCTTTAACCACACCGTTCCGCAGAAAACAACCTTGCTAAAAAACACCAACCAGAAAAAATCATTGAAACTACCTATACTCTCTCCTGCAAATGCAATGATCTTCTTATAAAAGAATTATGGTGCCTCATGGTGAACGATGAGAATCTACATAAGTCATGAGCTCCTTCTAATAGCCAGAGTAACAATTAATATAAGTTCATGGAATGTTCGAGAAATATGTGAGACCAAGATAATCAGACAAATATTAACAGAAATGAGCAGATGCAACTTGGTGGTGCTCGGAATAAGTGAAACCCGTTAGACCCAAGCAGGACAGAGAAGGTTAGATTCATCAGAGATGCTTCTGTACTCTGGTCACGAACAAGAAAATGATCCACACATTCAGGGAATTTCTCTGATACTGTCCAAAGAAGCACACGAAACACTTATAGAATGGGAATCTCATGGATCCAGTATTATCAAAGCATCCTTCAAAATAAGGGTGAAGGGAATCACAATGAATGTTATTCAGTGCTATGCACCCACCAATGATAACAATGAAGATGATAAAGATCAGTTTTACAAGAGGCTGAAATCAATCAGAGCGAAGTGGTTGGGAAAGCACCTTACCATCCAGACGGGAGATGTAGTGACTCACATTTATCACGAGAACACGACTGGTTTAATAAAAACAATTATTATTATAACCAACTGTACCAGTGCTTGTTTTAATGTGCTTTTGTTTGACTGTGCTAATGACAGCTTTATTTTGCTTCCATTCTTTTACTTACACTTTGATTGTAACTTCGCGCGAATTCGGTTACGTTCTGTAACCAAGCTTGTATTCTGGCACGATCTCGGTATCTTTTCGATGCCACGAGATCGCCAGCGAATACATCTCGATTTGGTCCATTAACTGTCTTCTGATATTTGGCTTCTCGGAGATTTTATGGATCTATTTGGTTACGTCCAACCCTCGCCTTCTGATTTATTTGGCACGTGTTTCTTGGTAGCGGTGTTCATAGTTAATCTCAACTCGACGCCACGCTACAATTGGTGATCCCAAAGTTTGGAACACGCCTCAACTTCTGGTCAAATCTTCCAAAGAAGCCAATTCGGTGAGTCTATGATTTATCTATCCACGTCTGTCGTATATTTTCATATTTTTTAATATATAATATACGCGACATGACGGATAACGATAATAATAGTATTAATATAATAGACTCACATGTATGTGTACCGAATCCTTGTTACTTGTTATTCGCGTGACGATGAATTCTACGCTTTATTCGAGAAATTTTCCCCTATTAATTATTCTCCTCGCTGACCCGGCTGTTTGGTACGGCATGCATTCGCATAAGCATTAACGTCTACCTCCCAGCATCAAATGGTTAAGTTGAACGGTTTCACTGCCAACTTAAAAGTGCTCTACGAGCACACGAGAACGACAACTGGTACGAAACCTTATCGCTCGTCCTCTAAGGTATTCGAACGAGCCTGATGGCAGATATACAATGTTCCGCCGCTGAACTGGTAAACGGCACGACATTGCATCTGCCCGGAGAATTCACACCACGGAGCAGACCTAATTTCGGTAAATCAGACTACGTCCATCGACTGTCTGCATTTATGCGAACGCTGTCTCCGGTGTCAACTCGAATACAACATCGACAGGTCGCTCTCCCTCGAGAGTTATCTACCTGTTCACATGTTTTTGTACGAGTAGATTCGGTACGCAAACCTTTGCAACAACCTTACGAAGGCTCTTTTCACGTGATCGCTCGTCACGAAAAGACCTTCAAGGTTAATCGACACGGCCGCGTCGAGATTGTCAGCATTGATCGTCTCAAACCAGCACACGTCGATGACAGTGCCCTATCTGATAACCTGAGATTCAATGCTAGACCTATCAAACCTAGCGGGATCCTTAAATCTTCTTCAGGTCCCACGCTAGATACATCTGAGACCTCATTCTCACGTCCCGGTCAACAGCACGCGTCATCTGCACCGTCTACGGACGAGACGACAGTCTCACGTCCAGATCAGCAGACCACGCCGCCTCTGACCTCGGATGAGATTGCAGGCTCACGCGACGCGAACGAGACTACCGTCTCACGTTCCGGTCGCCGAGTACGGTTGCCCGTACGCTTCCGCGACTAGCCGCACAGTTAACAACCGATACGGTGTAGGACTATTCCTATGCTACACGCATGCTACACTCTTCTCTTTTTTGATTTTCTTTTTGTTTCCTGAGCCCACGCCTTCGACCATCTCCGTTTGGTTCCGTCGACTTCAGTCAACTTTGGCGAAAGCTGGCCTGATCACCCACGCTCTTGTCAACGTACTCAGTCGATATATTGGTTTCGAATGCTTGGCATACGCTTGGTCTCGAACTTCGTCGTTACGGTCGCTTCTGGTTTTTTGGCTCAACGTGGTTTCGTCCTACGTCTGCAGCGTTTCTGGTGCGCACCCCTACGAACGCCATCTTCAGATTCTGGATACAAACCACTCTGGTGTAGCATGCCAACTCAAGCAACAAATACAGCACATCGCTCCTGGTACCGTTCTCCGAAAACGACCTTCGTTGGCAACTCGACGATCAACGATCGCTTTCCTGTTCGCCAATTCTTCCGTCCTACAATCGCTCGTCAGCCGATCAGTCCCACGATTTAAACCGCTATTTATCGAAAGTGTAAACCCTTTCTAGCGGGGGGCTCCTGTAGTGACTCACATTTATCA